TTTTCTTTCCTTTTTTTTTTTTTTTTTTTTTTTTTTTCTTTTTCTTTTGTTCTTTTCTTTCCCTTTTACTCTCTTTTTTCCCCTCCCCCTTTTCTCTTTTTTCCCGACGGCAGCGCAATTTTACCGACCATATCCTGACAGGTGGGGGGGGGGTGTCGCACCCCACACCCCCCTTTGGAGACGCCCCTGCCTACGCCACTGTTGGCGACCACAAGGCTATCAATACAAATTAAGACATATTAATGAAGATTCTTTTTTAATGTTGCAGAGAGATATGTATTTTCTCTATGAACTTGTTTAATGGACAATAAATAATATTAAAAACATGAATACTATATAATGATGAGAGAGATGATTTAAGTCATACTTTTTTCAATGTGATTGGAGTGGACTTGAGGGTTGGGGGGGGGGGGGTCCCCCTTCTGAGATCTCGGCCGTTTCACAGCCGATCGCCGCGAAAATGCATATTTATGGTAATTTATGCAAACAAGGTCAGAGAATTCACATTTTTACCCATAAATCATATATAATTCATATTCGAGCGTTCTTTTTCACTTCATATATTCGTTAGAATAATGATACGACAACAAAGTTGGAAGAGCCAGTTTATCCCTATGTTATCTCTTGTTTTGATAATTTGTGTTTATGTATTATATTATTTTGTTATTTCATTTCATTTCTAACCACAATTCAACTATTTTTACCCAAAATCAAACACATTAACTTGAAACAAGACCAAATAACCAATGTTTTCTCTTTTTTTAAAAGAATAAATGGTATTTCCATATGTACATAAATCACAAAAATGAGCCATTTTAGGGCTGACATGCAAAAACAAAAGGTCACGTGACTCCGCAATTATACGTCCGATTTTCAACAAAAAAATGTTTCAAAAGATGCGTAAGATTCGAAAGAAAAAAGTCATGAAAGAAAAACTTTATATCTGCCGCGGTTCCGGAGTAGTCGCGAAATTACTAGAGAGCACTAATCTTTTTTGGGGCTCTCAAAAATTTGAAAAATCGTACCCCCCCCCCCCCCCCTTGAACGCCAGGGGGGGGGGGGTATTTCCCCAAAACGGTAAAAATTAACGTGTTTTTTTTTTTACACGTTTTTTTCACAGGGCGGAGCCCTCAGAAGCTCAGGGGTATTAATCATCAAAATTAACGTCGGATGAGCATAATTTTATACCTTATTTGTGACAGTGGCAGGACACAATTTGGTGTTGGGTCCAGGGGGCGGAGCCCCCAGAAGCTCAGGAGTTTTGTCCATTAAATTATTATTATTTTATACCTTATTTGTGACACAGGGGTCACGAATTGGCGTGGGGTCCAGGGGGTGGAGCACCCGGAAGCTCAGGGGTTTTGGGCAATAAATAACGGTTAGATCAGCATATTTTTATATCTATTTGTGACACTGGCAGGACACAAATTGGTGTTGGATCCAAGGGGCGGAGCCCCAAGAAGGTGAGAGGTTTTATACATCAAATTATCGTCAGATGAGCATATTTATATATCTATTTGTGACACTGGCAGAACACAAATTCTTCTTCCTCTTCCTCTTCTTTCTTTCCTTTTATCTTCTCTTTCCCTCTCCTTCTCCAACATAAGATGCAAGACGGATATATATCGACTCACCTTCTTTCCAAGAACCGTACGGGCCTGGAATTTACTTCCCCCCCCCAGCATCTTTGCCTGCAACGCAGTCGAAACCTTCAAAGCCAGACTCTGGGAAGCCATCCAAGGGGGTAATAATCATAGTCCCTCCCCACAACTGCAATGTGATGGGACTTAATTCTAAAATGTTCTAGAAGCAACAAACACTCTCTCTCGAACGATAACGTTCTTATTGGTCTTCTTTATATCCCTCTTGAGGATCAGGACCAGGATCAGAACAGATTCTCTCTCTCTCTCTCTTATTTATTTTTTGGCGGGGGGGGGGGAGGGAGGAGGCAAGAGCCCTTCGCCCCTGTTTCCCTCTTTTCTTATTCTTTTTCCTCTTCTTTCTTTTCTTTTATATTTTCTTTCCTTTTCCCTTCACTCTCTCTCTCTCTTATTTATTTTGTTGGCGGGGGGGGGGGGGGGGGGAAGGGGGGCAAGAGCCCTTCGCCCTTCCCCCGTTTCCCTCTTTCCTTCTTATTCCTCTTCTTTCTTTCCTTTTATATTTTTTTTCCCTCTCCCTTCTCTCTCTCTTATTTACTTTTGGCGGGGGGAGGCAATAGCCCTTCGCCCCCGTTTTCCTCTTTTCTTCTTATTCTTCTTCCTCTTCTTTCTTTCCCTTCTCTCTCTCTCTCTCTCTCTCTCTCTCTTATTTACTTTTGGCGGGGAGGCAAGAGCCCTTCGCCCCCGTTTAACTCTTTTCTTCTTCTTCTTCCTCTTCTTTCTTTCCTTTTATCTTCTCTTTCCCTTTCCCTTCTCTCTCTCTCTTATTTATTTTGTTGGCAAGAGCCCTTCGCCCCCTTTCCCTCTTTTCTAATTCTTTTTCCTCTTCTTTCTTTCCTTTTAGATTTTCTTTCCCTCTCCCTTCTCTCTCTCTCTCTCTTATTAATTTTTTTGGCGGGAAGGGGGGGGGGAGGTAAGAACCTTTCGCCCTTCCCCCGTATCCATCTTTCCTTCTTCTTCTTCTTTCTTTCCTCTTATATTTTCTTTTCCTTTCCCTTCTCTCTCTCTCTCTCTCTCTCTCCTATTTATTTGTTGGCGGGGGGGGGGGAGGAGGCAAGAGCCCTTCGCCCCCGTTTCCCTCTTTTCTTCTTATTCTTCTTTCTTTCCTTTTATATTCTCTTTCCCTTTCCCTTTTCCTTTTCTCTCTCTCTCTCTCTCTCTCATTTATTTTTTTTTGGTGGGGGGGGGGGGACAAGAGCCCTTCGCCCCCGTGTCCCTCTTTTCTTCTTTTCCTCTTCTTTCCTTTTATCTTCTCTTTCCCTTTCCCTTCTCTCTCTCTCTCTTATTTATTTTTTTGGCGGGGGGGGGGGGGAGGAGGCAAGAGCCTTTCGCCCTTCCCCCGTTTCCCTCTTCTTCTTCTTTCTTTCCTTTTATATTTTCTTTCCCTTTCCCTTTTCCTTCTCTCTATCTCTATCTCTCTCTCCTATTTATTTGTTGGCGGGGGGGGGGGGGGAGGAAAGCCCTTTGCCCACGTTTCCCTCTTTTCTTCTTCTTCCTCTTCTTTCTTTCCTTTTATCTTCTCTTTCCCTTTCCCTTTCCCTTCTCTCTCTCTCCTATTTATTTGTTGGCGGGGGGGGGAGGAGGCAAAAGCCCTTTGCCCACGTTTCCCTCTTTTCTTCTTCTTCCTCTTCTTTCTTTCCTTTTATCTTCTCTTTCCCTTTCCCTTTCCCTTCTCTCTCTCTCTGATTTATTTTTTGGCAAGAGTCCTTCGCCCCCCCCCCCCGTTTCCCTCTTCTCTTCTTATTCTTCTTTCTTTCCTTTTATCTTCCCTTTCCCTCCTTCTCTCTGTCTCCCCCATCAACATAGTAATAACGAAAGAGACCACTCTGTAATCAAGACCATTCCATTTTATTTAATCCATTTTCGATATACTTAAATTGGCAACTATTACCTTCTGTCCGAGATCCTCATTTTAAACGACTGATGCGAAAGACTAGTCGACGCACCCTTTCGAGAAAAGCCCCCCCCCCCCCGCTTTCATCGAAAGGGTGTGTTAAAACGGAACTCCGCTCTCAACGCACCCTTTCGAGAAACGGCCCCCCTCTTTTATCGAATGGGTGCGTTGAGCACACCACACCGCGCCGCGCCGCACCGCACCCTTTCGATGAAAGCCCATGACATATAACATAGAAATATAAAGGAATAATCATAAACTATATACAAGACAAGAAATATAGACTAAAGAATATTGATTATCTCTAAGAAATGTGATAACTTCCACTTATGCAATATACAGCAATACATGTTGTATTATAATCCAATCAACATCCAAACATCAACCCTTAAATACCATTAGGCCTATGGGATAATTATGAGCAGGTTTATTCGATTGAAAACTACCAAATAATAATGGTCAGACAATCCCTTGTGCCAAGCAAATGCAAACTCTTCACAGTGTTTCCAACTGCTAATCTGAGCTCTTAAGCAAACATGCCTCCTATCACTAATCCCTCTGTCCTAGCCCAATGGAGAGTGTTGCTCAACAACACAACATGAACGAGAATATTGGGGAAGAAAGGGAGAGAAAAAGAGAGTGTGTGTGTGTGTTCCCCTACCACGAGTGAGGTTGACCTCTGTACAGAGTGACCCAAGAGAGATAAGGGAGAGATGGAAGAGGGGGAGAGATCTACTCTGTTGTTCCAACACTATCTACACTGGATCATACACATTATCACAATGGCACTGTTGCATAGTATATCACCTAATTTGCAATTAGAGTAGGTTCTGAATGATAGATTGTAAATTTGGAAACTACCATTTATGATATTAGACTTACCTTTTCTTTATCAACCTTAGACTAACTTTATAGTATTTACAAACTCCTATACTAGGTGGAGGATAAACGTTCATATAGCAGTTCGGTACCTCGTTTATAATTTGAAATACTATTCTTTGCATCAGAAAGTTCCAACCTCAATGGAATGTATACTTCTTTTCTGACATAGAAATCAAAGTCAATACTTTTAAGAACGGTAAGAGTACCACGTGCGTCGATCACCACGTGCCCGGCACATGTTTGCTTGTCTGCGCTGCATGCACTCACCGTAAACACACAAATTAAACTCCATATTAAACAAGGTATCTGATTGGTCGATCAATTCCAGACGCATGCGCAGTAAACAGCATCCGTCTGGAAAAAGGCACACGTGTGCTAATAAAGTAACAGGCGTGTGCTATCGCACCTTGCACGCGCCTGCTAAATAACAGGCGGTGATTGGTCAATTTAGCAGACGTGTGCCGCGTTCCATACGTCTGGGGCACGTGAATAAAGTCACCAACGGCTTTCCATAGATTTTCGACCCAACAAGACAAGTGCATCAGCGGGTCACGCGTTGTTGATCAACACAACAAACTCCATTCTGCAAAACGTGAGTGAATGTAGTCTGCATAGTGAGTGAGCTGCACGTCTTCTGCGAGCAACTCCTCGATCTTGGTGAAGAAAAAAGGTCTTTTTGGACGCAATTTCTTCGAGAGTGACCAGGTAAGAACTAGATATCCCCTTTTATCGTATTTCTGAGGAAAAAACACGTTTCTAGGAAGAAGTAATCGTGAAAAAGACACCTTGCGAAAATGTTTATGCGTCAACGTTCACGCGCGATATGATCTATCCGATCGCCTTAGCAACCGGACGATTTAAGTTATTTTCCACCAAAATAATCAGAATAATTTCATTTTGACAGACATAGTGTCTTCTTAGAAGTATGTTGTTTGAGTTCAAGTGGATTTTGGTTGTAAAATAATGTGTGATTAAGATAATCGGAGAAGTTACACGACAGATTGCTGGCAAAGAATTTGGCCTTAGCAACGATCGACTTGCACCGGTAGGCTGAAAGTAGCTGGCACCAGCGCTGGCCGTGCGCCCCGGGCCGCGTTATTTTTTTATGCGGCACAGATTGGGGCATGGCGCGTGTTAAACCTATGGGAAGTACGTTCTTTCCCTTCTGAATAGTGTCTGCACGTACGTGAGACTAGTCATGTTCGCTAGCGCATTAGCGCTGCGAAGAAGTTTGTATATCCATCGCGAACTATGTGTTTAGATAACATTCCTCTTCGTTTAAGTTAGTTAAGTTTTATTGACTAATTATTGTGATGTTCTCCTTATTGACGTGCTGCCTCCTCTTCAGATTTCCAATTTGATTTTAATTGTTGATGTAATGATTTTCCATGCGGTAGTGGATTACATGTAACACTATTAAAAACAGACCTCTACTACTTATACTGTCTAGTACGCACACGACCAGTATTAGTCTGTAAATCAAGACCCCTTTTAAAAGAAAGCCCCAATCTGTGCCGCATAAAAAAATAACGCCCCCGGGCCCGGGCTCGGATCGGGAAGTCTTCTATAGATCTCGACTAGTCTGGAATGGATATTGAATTAGTCTCCTTTTTTAAAACAATACTCTTTTTCCATTTGTAAAGTGGAAGTTACATATTTCCACATATGTACATGTATATGAATATAGTTTTGATGAATAAATAAAATAAAAAAGTAACATATTAGTAAACTAAATAAACATGATAAATATGTCACAGTTTTGTTGTATTTATATAGACATATATTATATGAATGAATAACAGCAAAAAAAAAATGAGTTGTAGATATATTCATATACAATTAAATAGTGGAGAAAGAGAATTATTCTGCATGGCTATCCCATCCATACATCTTGGATATTCAAATGTAAGACAATTATATTTAACTATAAACTTTCATATAATTATATTGTTATGTTTGTAATATATAATGATAATAAGATGGTGGCTTCTTATATAGCGCACATGTCCATCACGCTGTGATGCTCCTGGCTCTACCCTGATTGTAACCCTGGCTTATATAGCAAAGGCGGCCATTGGGGCGCTCATATAGCATTTTAAGGAATTAATATTTCCTGCCAGGTGATATGTGATGTAATTTTTTAGTTCTTAAAAAATATAGTACAAAAAAAAAAAATCTTATTTGGTAAATCTTTAGGATGATTTTGGGCCCTTGGGTGCTATTCAGCAACATAAAATAAGTGACATAAGCAAGTGAAGGAGTGTGTGTTTAAAGTATAATAGAATTGATGATGATCACTATTTAATTGTTATAATTTAGAGGAAAAGGCAACTATTTCTTGCTAAATATTGTTCCTAATGTATCACCAGTGACAATCGTACATTTTCATAATTAATCAGTTTGTCAATCGATCGATTATTATAATGTATAATCAGAAAACCGTCTTTAATGTTTATCAACAATATTTGAGGTTTTCAGTTATATCCATTCACAATTCCAACCATTCTCACGATTAATTTCACAAGTATGATTTTTTGTTGAAATTGAATCAATCTATCAATCTTTATTTTGTCTTTATTCTGTTTAATGTATTAAATATATAGCCTTAACAGATACGAAGGTGTGACTGTGATTGGTCCACAGGTTGTTGCATTTCGTCACAGGATCGTAATTAGCACATTTCACTTCCGGTCATTTTTTGATATATAGGGGCCTATTGATATTGAATCAAATGAGTAAATTTTTATGTCTTACCATATTCAAGCACCCCTGCAAGTAAGTGAAGCAACCCTGCATGTACTGATTGTTTTCATTGTCATAGCTGCGCACAATTGACGCCATGAGAATAGCTATTACCCTAAACTTTTTATAAATTCATACAGTTTATATGGCTATTTGAATATATATTTTAATTCACTTAATTTCAGTTTAAAATTCCTTTAAAGCCCCACTGTCCTACTTGTAGCTACTTGCTCCCTCTATACAATGTCTATATACAGAAAACAATGCCTCGGTGACCATTGGTCCCTCATGCATAATCCTTTTTTCCTTATGTTAGTTGAGAGCTGAGTTGATGAGCTAGATAACTAACTGTCAAGTGACCTTGCAGGGTGGTCTAATCCCTCCTATTAACTAGTACAGACAGACTTTAAAAGAAGGCACTGGAAGCCCTCTGGAACTGCACATTGCAATGATACTTGAATGATAATTCTGTTTGGAATGACAGTTGAGGAATTGAGTCGAGTAAAAGAATATTGGTGTCAAAATCAATAATGATAGCATTAATAATGCAGGAGAATAGATATACAAGGATAGAATCAATTAATGGATTACGCAAGCCATTCTTTTTCACACTGAAATCCTTGATCAAACACTTGTCATATTGTAAAGAAAGGGCGAGCAATCCCCTTACTACCATGCCAACAAGTCAATAGGGCTATCAGATCTTTTCTTCTCCATTTTGATATGAAGCACATCAGCAAACAAAAATTCACAATAAGCATGCATGCATGAGACTCCCCATCCACACCTACTTCATGAAGGACACGACACTTGCGGTTTGTTTGACTGGTTTTGTGTTTGCTGATGTTTTTCTGAAATCTATCTGGAAAGCAATCCACTCAAGAATACTGGTAGCCGTATACAGTCAAACCTGTCTAATATGGCCACCTAAGGGACATGGGAAAGTGGCCACCGTAGAAAGGCCGGCTTTTCTAGACGGGCTCTACACCATGCACACCTTTCTTCATAGAGGGATCGAGATAAGATACAAGTACACAATGTATATGACCATTATAGGCAGGTGGCCTTAATAGAGAAGGTGGCCTAATTAATAGAGAGATGGCCGCTAAACTAGCTAGTTTGACTTGTACTGATAAAAATACTGAAAGAAATGACGTTTGGGCTGAGAGAGAGGGAAAGAGGGAGGGAGAGAGAGAGAGAAGGGGAGAGAGAGAGAGAGATTAGAGGTCCAATCAACTCTCTTTTTCTTTGCCACAAACATCAATCATTCCATTTACAATCTACTTCTATTTATTCCATCTTTTGCATCTGCCATTCATACCTCAATACACACACATGCATAAAAATCAATCAATCACTGATCCGGAATCCCAGTTACAATTATTCCTGATTCAGAAAGGCGGCTGGTGGCGTCAAGACAGCAATCTGCTCTAGTTTATCAGATGGTTGTCATGGTAACAATCGATTCTTGTGAGATGCACTTGCATGATGCCTTGCTCATCAATTTTTGCTCGCATGGGTGTGCTGTCTCGCAAGAAAAGTGAACAATGACAAACACTAACAGCAAACTGGTTGCTATGGTAATGGCATGAACAGTGCTATATATACAAATGGCGTTTAATTATCTGGGTAGTCAGGAACTTTGTTTGAAGGAGCGAGTATGGTGACTGTAATAGTGGCGGGGAGACTCTTTGTTTCTACATAATTTGCAAATGCTCTTCTTTTCTAGCTGTCATCACTGTTAATGTAAGTTTTCTAAGAATAAAACTGTATGGCTTTAACCTTTATCGCTATATCAGCAGAGGTCAGCTATTTCTGGTATCATCATGCTTTGCAGTCTATAATAATCATCAGTTTTTATTGTGTATTTTTTACATGAAGAGTGTATCAGAGAAAGCCTGCACATTCAAAGTTATTCTTGGAATTATCCTACTAATTTTCCCTTAACTTATTCCTCCTAGCTCCTCCCCTTATATTCTTCTTCTCTTTTTCCTTCTCCTTTCCTTTTAGTCGAAACAATTCACCTGTCTGCAGTATTATTGGACACAAAACTTAGCCCTGCGTTGAACGTTTGTGTCATCAACATTGTGAATATGCAATTATTTCTAAAAAGTAGTTGTTTCATTGATTCAATTTTAATTCATTTGCATGAATTGTACATTTTTCAGATCGAATCGGATGTACATGTATGTATGGAGCTGTGGAATGGCATCCTACAAGGTCCTCTATTAGTATGTTAAATCTATATATATGTGCTAATTTTAATCGACGGCTTAATGTTTTTTATTCCTATTGCATATGACAATATTTGCATATTTGTATATCTTTCAGATCAAATCAGACATGGATGCTATACGTAGAGATGTTGCCAAGCTGAGGGAACGCTATAAGGTCCTCCAGCAGCAGCAGTTTACATTCATCAATGCATTGGCCAACACCAGGACAGATGCGTATGAGAAAACCAAACCAGTCAGGTCCATCAATCATGTAAGTATATACTCCATCGTCAAGAAATTGCAAGGGTATCATTTTAAGGAAGATCATGGGGACACACAAATGTACATGTTATGAAGAAATTTTTTGAATTATGACAAGTATGAGGAAAAGAAATGTGTCTTAATAGAGTCTGAATAAATAGATTTCCTATATGAGCTCAGTGTTAATTTTTTCTGGTTCCTAATGTTATGAACCAGAGCAAAATAACACTGAGTTTGTATAGGAAATCTATTTATTCAGATGGTCATATCTCAGCCAATACTTAACATATTCAATTGGTTTTCGACATTTGGACCTTATTTTTGATGCTCTTTCGGAAAATGAAGACAAAATTGAGAAATTCTAATTAAGAATAATGATAATGTTCTTGGTTTATATAGTGTTTGATACATCAACAATTAATGCCTCTAAGTGCTTAACAGATATATTAAAACCCTGGTCATCGGATTCAGGCTTTCCCACATCCAATGCATGCATAATCTCCACTCCCTGATGAGCATTCCGTCCTCATAGAGCATGTGAATGGAGATCGAGTTGCAACTTAAATTAAATTAAAATTAATGCCTTGTCAAAGGACGTTATTGCCGGGCTGGGATTCGACCCCTCAATCCTTGGATTTTGAGTCAATTAAGTGAATGTGGAGGGCAGGACTAACTACTGAATGTACTTTTACTCTTAGTTTTGGCTCGTTTTCTCTCTCATCATGAAGAAAATGTGCCGGAAACAGATTAAATGAAGTATAATAATCTTGGTGGAAAAAAAAGTTCTCAAACATAATAGAATTATAGATTAGGGAACTGTACTTTTAAGATTTGAACTGTGCCATCAAGGAAATATAGCACCAGACTTTGTGAATATACCTTGAATATACCTTGAATATATAGGATGAGATCATGAAAACTTTTGAAATCATGGATATGTTAGGCAGATTGATTGACATATTATGCATCACAGTAGTACATATTTTGAATAAAAGAAGCCCAAATTAGTCAGATCAATTGACTTAACAACTTGACTTATCAACTGTACTGTTTTTGTGTGATTTATGCAAATGTGATTGACAAGTATTTGGCTGAAGCAAGGAAAGGAATTAAAGAAAGGCTGTACCAAACTTATTTTATGTTTGTTATAGATATATCAATGTTAAAAAGAAAATAATTCAAGAATTGCATTGAGAATGACTTTTTTAACCCCTCAAAAGCAAGGAATTGTTTAGAGCATATACATGTATATGGGATATTTTATCAGTAAAACTAATTCTGTACTTGAAAGATTTATTTATTGAAATTAGACAAGGAAATTAAATTATCTTTCTTTCCCACATTCCATCTCATAATAGGTCAAAGAACTGTTTGAGCGTAGCCGCAATGCCACTGACCGCCGGGCCATGAAGCAATGGTTAGATCTGGTAGGAGAGCTGACAAACATTGTAATGCGTATTTCCAACGTGAATCCTGATGTGATCAAGGAGGGGCCGGCCAATCAGGCCATGGCCCGAGGCAGGACATTACTCAACCCATCCAACGAATTCTCATCTCTAAGAGCTGGATACCCTCATCAGGAGGTAGGTGGATTTATTTAAGGGGAAACAAATGTATATATATATAATTTGTTTTATTGGACTTCATTATTTAATACCAGATTGAACAACAGCTAGTAGATTTTACTTGATTTTGACTCTACTTTAACTTGCCTCATGTATTTAGCATTACTTGAGTATAATGTCACATTTGGATTTTTGTTGATGTTTCAAACATAAACATGATTGCAAATATTTGTAGCATGTTCCCGAGGCAATTTCAATAGCCTTAATTGTCAATCATCCATTGAAATGTGTAAACATTACGATGGTATTATAACATCACCCTTAGATGCTGCTTGTAAGTATCAAGTATTTCGTCTTGGTCTCCCATTTCAGGTAAACCATCTAAGCTGCTCCGAGGCCCGTGTCCTTTATGGAGGCTGCGTCAGTATAGTCCCTCTAGTGTTAGACAACTTACTCAAAGTATACAGTGTCATCAAAGAGAACGGCAAAGAGCTAAAAGAAACATGGCCCCCTGCACAGACACAGAGACCTCGGAGTATACAGAGTGCAAGGCATCAAAGATCTAAAACAGAAAGTAAGTGACTGGATGTTTGTAGTACAGTCAAACCTGCTTTATTGACCACCTATCTACAACAAGCACATTTTTGTTTCCCTTGAAAAAGGTTTCTCATTGAAACATGTACTAAAGGAACCTGTCTACAAAGACCACCTGTCTACAAAGACCACTTTTTGTGTTTTCCTTGGGCAGTAGCTGTAGACAGGTTTGACTGTACATGTTCCTAGCTATATGTTGATTTAAACTATCAATTCTGCTCTACTGTCATATCATGATGTTGTGTAAAGTCTACTGAACTCTATCAAAATATTTATGGGTTCCATTGGAAATAGAGGTCTGAGAATTCTTTTCTCATAGGAGAAAGCTGATCAGTTAAAAGTTGAACAAAAACTGTGTGTCTGCTTGATTTCCAATTCATCATAAAGCTGTTAAGAATTATTTATGTGTGATACTTGTGTTTTAAAAACACCTGATGACATACCATATTAATTCCATTGTGCTCTCTACTTCAGTTTTGATGGTAGAGATGAAAAGGCATAATTAGTATTAGGCCTAAAAAAAAAAGATGTTGTATTGCCCTTTAAAAAATTTTTTTTTTTTCTTCTTCTTAACTCCCTCTTTGGGCTGATATTTTTTAGTTTTGAATGCTTTAATACATTTTTTTCCTCAAAAAAACAGTAAAAAAAATGGCAATACAACATCTTTGTATTGGAAGAAGCTGTGATATCATCTTTTTAGAGAAAGAAAGTCTTTAAAAATTCTCTTATACTCTGTGTTAAATGATATGAGTCAACACCATTCTGGCTCTGACCAGAGGGGCATTTCACAAAACTTGTGATCAGTGACAAATGACAAGTTGTGTTATAAGCTGCTGAAATCCTTGCTTCTGATTAGATATCAGTAGATTTGTCACTGATTTTTGTTATTTGTCAATGAAAAGGCTTTGTGAAACGCCCCCCTGATATTTAGAGTACTATGTTAACCACCAACCCACATTGCTTTTTGCACAGCCCAAGCCCCATCAAGAGCAAAGACTGCCGTTGGTACAAGGAATGCCCGCGACATCTGCGAGAAGAGCACTGACACCAAGGATCTAACGAAACGCATGCTCAAGCTCTCTTTCGGCAAGATGCCTAAAGGTCACGACGAGAACACGCTCTTCTACAGACGGACACTCAATGGACGCGCGGACAAGCTGCACATCAATGGTGAGATCACGCTGGACAAGGGTCCCTGGAGAGGCGGGTCTTACGATAAGACCAACCATGTCGATCACAGGAGATTTGTTAATCTAGAAGATAAGTTTTACTGAGTTGTGTGATGTGTGTATAGGCAGGCTTCTCGGCAGGAAAATATCTACCCTTGGTCCAAACTGATTGAAATATATGGTCTTGTTACATCCCAGGGGGTGCTACATGTAGGACCATAGTAATTTCGCAGGTTGAATGCATCCACATATTTTTGTTATACTATTGCTGGCACCTTGGCTGGGGAGAATCAAACCTTGGCAGTGCCATTGATTAGGAGAGTTTGGTCAACCCAGTTCGAGTTGGGCACAATATGGGCAATACTGCAGTGTTGGGAAAGCACAAACCAAAAGAAAATAAATCCTCATGTAATCAACTGGAACTAGATTGATTGAACTATATGTATACACGTGTAGATGGCTATAACCCTTGGTACATTTACAAAAATAAAATCTCCCATTCACATCACAGCGGAACCTCATTAGAAAAGAAAATATATCTACAGTAACAAACCAAGGACCAAGGGTGTTTTTGAATCACCGAGAACCCTGTGTTTAGGTATTATCTATCATTCCAAGCAGCTTGCTGACCATATTCCCCATGCATAAGACCATGCCTGACATTGCAACATTTGATCAACAAACGTTAACTATTTTACACGTTATCAGAATCAGATATGTAGCTTGTGTCAGAAATCAATTGTGATACTATTCCTCTCAGATGATTTTTGTTATCACAGATTACAGGTATATAAAGTTCAAAGGTTTAAAAAAAAAAAAGATTTTATCATGGTCATTGTTTTGATGAGTAGTGTATTTCTTGTTGAAATTTTAAAACATTAGTTGCAGTTTATTTTATATATTTTTTTGAAGGAAGGTTTTATGTGCATGGTTTCCGAATAATTTTTCAGAATTTATTAAAATATAAAAAAACACAGATGCTAATGCTATTAAAAACTAATCAAGTAACCGTTCATCTGTTGCAAGCCTTTACACATGAAAATGTATTGGTATTGCGTCAGGTTTTGACTTTTTCAGATCTTTGAGTATTAGATCCTAAATAGTGCTTTCAAGAGCAGGAATTATTGAACTTGTGTCAACTGTTTTTCACCATTGTTCATTTCTTATCAACATTTGTTGTCTGATACCTTAAATGCTAAGGAAATTACTTTACTTGTAGAGCTTTGCTTCTGAGTCACCTTTATATTGTACATAGAAGCTGCTAGACAATATTTTCATTGTTACAAAGTGATAATGCTACATTTTTGTTCGGATTTGGTGTATATACTCTTGAATTTATTTAATTTTGTATGGTTTCTTTCATGATGTTTTGATTATTCAGTCAATATCTGCATGTAGATTTTGAAATAATACATGAAGATCAACTGGGATTTGATTTGCTAAATATTTATCAAGTTTTGGAACATTGATAATCAGAGTTTAAGCAAGAACAGAGGAAGTAAATTTTAAAAAAATATGTTTTTGTTTGCATTAAAAAGAAAGAAGTTTTGATTTGGTAGCAAATAGTTGATTTTCACCTTTGCTATGTTTGAAAAACAGATGCATACATAAAGGAACAAACAAAAAATATATGTACTGTTTATGTTTACCTTCTTTACAAAAGTTATTTAGGGGTTATCAATCCTATAAAGGAAGCTCATGGTTTGTCCCATACAGTATGTCATCAAGTATCATTGAATTATGCTATGGAGTTGTGAGCATAAATTGAAATAAAACATAATTTTACATGTGTTCAAGGTTTTGTGTGATTCCACATCTAGTGTAGTGGGACCATCAGCTTGATACAGTCATTGTAAAGAATGAAATTTTAGATGTGGTCATTAGCATATTTATGGGACAAAATAGCTTTGACTTGACCTTTATGTACCTGTTAAATCACATGTATAATAGGCTATTATGACACGATCAAATTTTGCTTGTTTGCCAAATTGTGCAAAAGAGGGCTCTGTAATTATACAGTTGTTGCTTCTTTCAGTTTTAGATTGAACAAACAATTTTCAATGAAATGATGTCTGAAGTCATAACATCACACTGTTTGCACCAAACATATTGGAATGTAATATGAAATATATATGTAAATTGTTTTGTTTAGTACCTGTCACTGTCTACTATTTATCATACCAGGGGGGTGTTTCTCAAAGATCCTAAGTTGGACTTAAAAATTATGGAAAGCCATTAGCATCTGTGAAAATAATTTGTAAAAGCTATTTTAAAAGGCATAAAATGTTGATTCAAATCATTCATATTTTCTATTATCAAGGAGATTTCATGTTCTTGATGTGGAATTTTATAAAAGTCAAAAATACTTGAATTTTCGCTTTTGTACAATTTATTTTAAGGCTACAAATGGCTCTCCATAATAAGTCCAACTTAGAGTTAGGATCTTTGTGAAACACCCCCTGTACTTATTAAATATATTGAATATTAGAATTCCAGCATACCTGAACAAACATATTAGGATCAAACCATATACATTGTACTTCCACCTTACTTTAATATTACCAATGTCCAGTTTACCCGTCCATTATTTCAACTTACATGTATTACTTTTCTCATGTTCATAGAGTATTTTGCCTGTAATGTGTCATATGATTTTTGTAAATTGTACTGGTACACAGATTAGCTACTTGGAAAAACCATTGGACATGTTACTTTGTCCATTGTTGTTGATTTCTTTCAAAACTTATATAATGTAACATCACTGTTCACATGTGGAATTATATGTGTAAAAACAATTAGTTTAATGCTTGGCGTATATTTCACATAGACAATTACAAATACACAGAGAAGACTAGGATTTGACTTTCACCAGTACTTTCAGAGCACTAGATCTTTCTTTTATTATGTTAAAAAAAAAGTATGCACAACTTTGTACAGAAGAGAATAAAATTTACATTTTACTGAATGTTTAAGAAAGTTTGTTTACTTTGTCTTCAATACCCTTAGACTGGCTTGGTTTGAGAAGGGTGTAGTTAAAAGAAATAGTCAAGATAGCAAATAAAGGAAACTGTATTCTAATGAAAAATTGATGATGTCTGAACTTGCTTGTGTCTCTTTTTTTTTTTAATCAAAGAAGAATTTCAAATACGAAAAGATATTGAGAGGCCAATTCTTTTGAAGCCATTTTCAAATTGAAGATTTTAAGATTATTAGAAAAAAGGCTCCACAAAACTTTTTTTTATGAGCTTCTATTTTTGAAAAGAAAAGCATGGTACACTAGCCATCAATCTGTATCTAAAATGTATCACAAAAATAGTTCATGCATTGTGCAAAGGGTGTGCACATGAAAGAAAAAGCATGGCAACCCGCAAGTGTCGAATAACAAAGTATATCCAGATCATGATGATATTATCGTGGATATAAGCAGCTTCCATAGAAGTTTACCAGTTCTTGAATCAACTAATTATTTGATGTGGATTACAAAAGACGCACCTATCCATAAACTCAATTCATTTGATATCTAAATGACAAGGGGAGTGGAATAGGGGCTCATTTTTAATGTGCTTAAAAATTAAAAATGATCTGCAGATTTTCTAGTCTTTCAACGATTTTTTTTTTTCAACACTTCAGTGGCTTTCTTCATATTGCTTTAGGATCGCTCATTTGCCACATGTAATAAAAAAAAATCCCTACACTTGATGAGAGGATTGATTTGTAAAATTACCCATTTCTAGTCTTGTGACAACCCCCTTTTTCACAAACAATGAGACGCAGGGTGTGTGGCAGTTAAGGAAATTCTTAGTCCAGGATTTAACTGTTCAGTTTTGTTGAGCATTGCTCTTAATGATATCAAAATAATTTTTCATCTTTGATACCGGTATAAAGGTATAAAAGTAGAGAAGAATAAAAATATTCCATGTTTATTCTCTTCAGTGCCAAGTACCACGTTGGAAGAAAAAAACAAAATCAATATTCCACTTTGTATAAAGACAAAGTTGAGTTCTGGTCATGCGATTGCATTGTGAAAGAAAAGGAGTGGAATCGATCAGAAACGGTTGATCAAGTATCAGTGTGTACTGTAAGGTTCTGGAGTCATCAAAATCATAATAAATTTGGCCCAGTCTTGGTAAAGTAACAAGCACTGTTCAAAGAAAGATGTATATAGGACTACACAAATGGTGTCAGGGCTACTATACCTTGATTTCCTTATCTGTCTATGCTCATTTCTCAGCCAGGATACATTTTCTACCAAAATTGTTTGGCAAATGACATTTATTTGTAATCTTGAATATTAAGTGTAAGTTTCGTTTGAGAATTCATTTTCTTTTTTTAACCAGAACTTAACTTTATCCTTAACTTTGGTGCACAGTTCCAAGGTGGAAGAAGAAAAACAAAAAAGAGTAATAAAAAATCACACTTTGTTTCACTCTGGTGCCCACAATTTGAATGTCCTGTCAAACGAAGATGTTGCTATGTATTTCTCATCGGGTGAAAGGTCGACGCACATTACCTTCCCATCATGCCCTGCCAGCGTGTTGAGAGGTGACCAGCCTGGATGTGCCCATACCTAGGGATAAGAAAAGAAAGAGTGGAGGTGGAGAGTTGGAAAGCAAAATTGTTTTGAAAAAAAGAAAGATGTGAGGAACGAGCCACACATCAACCTTTACTAGAGATTCACGAGAATATTTCTTCAAAAAGCATCATCTAAGGAATTAATAGCCATATCATATATCCCCCCATAGCATTGCTCTGTCTAATGAACAGAGCAGTTGTGAGTGTTTTGAAAACATGAGTTGATTTACATTCAACTTTGACTTGGGGGATCATGAAATTGACTCATTTTTCTTGTTGAGAACTGAAATTCCTCTTTGTCTTAGCCAAAATTTGACTCGTTAAATCTGACTTCAAACAATAGAGGGAAAAGTCAGGACTTGTTGAGATAGTTGACTTGGCTAGTTTTTACTTAGGAGAAGTCATCTCCTGCAATGTTAACTATATGAGCTTTTAAAATAACAAAGGGTTAAATCTGGACTTTCCTCAGAGCCCGTCTGTACTAGTTTGGCCAGGGGGATTAGACCTCCCTGTAAGGTCACTGACGGGTGGTTATCTCATCAAATCAGCTCTCAATTAACATAAGAAAAAGGGGATCATGGGGGACCAACATGCACCGATTTGGCATTGTTTGTTATATAGAGGGCGCAAGTAGCTATGAGTAGTACAATGGGGCTTTAAGAGTCGACTTGGCCAATTTTTGACCTGCGTGACATGATTTTTTGGGAGGTTCAATATATATATATATATATATATATATATATATATATATATGATCTTACCTTGGCTGTGCCATCGTATGAACATGTAATGAGGTAGTCTCCAGTAGTACCTGAAAAAAAGATAATAATGCAACAAAGTTTAAATGCTTATCCACACGTTATAATAATAATAATAACAATTGGATTCTTATATAGCGCACGTATCGACCTTGCAAGGTCCTCAAGGCGCTTCAACATTACCCGGCTATCCTAGGCTGCCGACTTCGACAGCATTTTAAGGAATTCCTTCGTACCGGTACCCATTTAACACCTGGATGGAGAGTGGTAAGTGTAGATCAATGTCTTGCCAAAGGACATTAGTGCCACTCCTCCTCCTTCTTTCCTTCCTCTTCTTCTTGACCATCTTCTCCTTCTCCTCCCCTGCCTTCTTATTATTATTCCTTTTCTTTCTTTTTTGGAAAAATTCTATGCCAAATGAAACCAGAATTCAAAGAATGAAAATTATAAACTTGATCGTTCATCAATAGCTATAGTTTATAAACATGGTGTCATAGAATTGGTAAAGTAGTACTTTCATGTCACTGAAAATGAAAAATTATAATGGTTCTTTGATTCCATTTAGTATTGTTTACCTTGGAACTTGAGTCCCGTAATCAGATTCTGATGTGCAGGGATGGTATAGAGTACTTTCCGCTGTCTCATGTCCCATATCTTAGCTGTATTATCCTCGCTTCCAGTAGCTAGCTGATAGCTGTGAGAAAAAACAAACAGAGAGGGCGATAGATCACATTTAGCACAAGAGAATTGAGCATCTGGTACCAAGCTGATAGCTGTGAGCAAAAACAAAGAGAGATGGCGATAGATCACATTTAGCACGAGAGAATAGGACTTCAGGTACCAAGCTGATAGCTGTGAGAAAAAACAAACAGAGATGGCGATAGATCACATTTAGCACAAGAGAATTGAGCCTCTGGTACCAAGCTGATAGCTGTGAACAAAAACAAACAGAGATGGCGATAGATCACATTTAGGACAAGAGATTTGCTTCTGGTACCAAGCTGATTGCTGTGAGCAAAAACAAACAGAGATGGCGATAGATCACATTTAGGACAAGAGAATCGAGCTATGATGAAACAATATGAGCCACATAGGAATTCCATAGGCCAATTCCTGCTTCATGTGTGGGTGTAGCCTTTTGACAAGGCCTCGTTGACTCTGGCTAAGCGGCTGAGATGAGTCTAGATACCCGGAGTGAACGCGCGACCGAATGACGAATGTCATGAGGCCTTTTGGAAAGTGGGTTTCACTGCTCCGCATGAATTATTCATAGAATGTAGGCCAATATGCCTACTTTGGATTCATGATTCGTTCCATGTAGAGGTCAGTGGTCAGTGGTCTTAGCACGTACGTATAGTAGGCATGTAGGTCCATGTTCGCACTACGTAGAGTTTACTGTGTGTGTGTGTGTGTGATGGATACTATATGCTGACGTCGTGCTAGGATACGTTTTCTACGTTTTCTGAAGCGAGTTCCAGTCGGAAACAAGGGTTAACATAAGAAATCCAAACCAGATTGATAAAGGCCACAGGTCTGGACAATTCGCACTGGCGTTAATTCAGGTTTTCGCGATTAGTCTCTTTTTAGTCACTCGGCGTCTTTTTAGTCACTCGGCGTCCATCAGGCATGTGGCCTTGTTTAAAGGCTAGTGTGGGTGAGGCTAAAAAAAGTTCTTTATTGAGATAATGTGAAAATGTCACATACTTCTTTGATGGTCTCTTACCCGTTCGGTGAGAAGTTGACAGCAAGTACCGACTTGAGATGACCTTCAAGGAACATGATACAACGGCCCGTCCTCAGATCCCATAACCTACCGAATGCATCCATACCACTGAAAAAATAATGATGAGAAACGCACATTATGAACGTTTCAGAGATTTATGCATGTATCACAGATATTACAGTGTATTTGCGTGAAACATTGCATAGATGTTGACACAAAACGAGCTCATTTCTGAAAAAACGGAGTTCTATGTAAGATTGCCTCACAGAGATGAAAGCAAAGAAATATTAAAAACATTCAACACACCATTAAAGCAATGTTTAGTTTGACACCTTCCAAAGGTGTTTTGTAAAGCTTTCAATGGTAAATCTATACAGTACAAACACCACAATGAAAGTAGCTACCATGAGTGTCAGCATAATTTACTTTTCATTTGAACTATTCCTTTAAAAAATTGAAGACGCATGATGGCTTAGTGATACGGCAGAGGTTTTGTAGCAGGGAAGCATTGGTCTGAAACCAAGCTGTTAAATGCACAAGTGCTCTTTGAAAAGGCATTAATCCTCAACTACAAAATGTTCCATTTTGGTCATGTAAAATTACTCGGTTATCAATGCTGAATGCGAAAATGGGTGCTCCAACCATACCTAAGGAAGGATTGCTCGGGACTTTATTATTCTTGAAATTAAAGGGTTTGGTTAAGGGCTGCAAAAGGGTTTTAGGTTAGGGTGGGGGTAAGGTTTGGGGTTAGGTATAGTGTAAGGTTCAGGTTTGAAATTAAAATTACCACGGAGCAATTATCGCAAAAGCATGTGATGTACAACCACCTGAATGACAACATCGATAAACAATCAATTTCCTCGTGTTCTTGAATATATATCCCCTTAAGGGTAAAGACCAGTTATGGTCATGCGATTGCATTGTGAAAGAAACGGTGTGGAATCGATCAGAAAAGGTTGATCATCTAGCATCTAGCATCTGCAAAGTTCTGGAATCATCAAAATGATAAGAAATTTGGCCCATTCTTCGTAAAGTTACAAGCACTATACACAGAAAGATGTATATGGGACTACCCTATATCTCTCACAGACCATGAGAGAAACAAATTTACCAAATATATGAATTAGTAGGCAGTTTCCCGGCAAATTTTTTATCATTCTGTATTAGTCAAAACATATTCTTTCACATGATTGGTAATGAGAGCTTCCATTTCATTTTTTGAAATTGGGGCGTTTCCAATACTGGTCTTTACCTTTAACCTGATATTGGCCCAGTTTCATAAAAACTTGTTCTCGATCACAAGTAATAATAACTGTTACAAGCTACAGAAATTACTGCATTTGATTGGCCGAGAGCAAAATTTGTAATGGAAGGTTAGCACTTGTTATTGATATTGTTATTGTGAAACCAGGGGGGTGTTTCACAAAGATCCTCAGGCGAACTTATATTTTAGAATTATGGAAAGCCATTAACATCCTTCAAAATACTTTGTAAAAGTTATTTTAAAAGGCAATAAATGTTGATTCAAATTATTCATATTTTCTATTATCATGGGAGATTTCATGTTCTTGATGTGGAATTTCATGAAAAATCTAAAATACTTCAATTTTTACTTTTGAATATATTTCATTATAAGGCTACAAATGGCTCTCCATAATTTTAAAGTCCAACTTAAAGATAAGTTCAACTTAGAATCTTTGTGAAACACCCCCAGTCCCTGAGCAGCGATACATACCCTGTAGCACATATGGCACCATCCTTCTGAAAGTCGATGGAGTAGACGGCTTTACTGTGCCCCTCCTGGTGGAGAATCTCCTCCTGCACCTCCAGGTCCCACAGTCTCCAGGAGGAGTCAAAGCTGCACAAAGAAAACAATATGTGACATAACAATAATAATAATAATAATATTTAGAGTTTATATAGCGCTTAATACAAATGTCTCTAAGCGCTTTACAAATATACTATTACCCTGGTCATTGGATTCAGTGCTTGCCCGCACACACTGTGTGCACAATCTCCACTCCCTGGGGAGCATTCCAGCCAGGCATTACTTGACAGTCAAAAACTCAAAAACATAATGGTTGGTATTAATAATATTAATAATACCTACTACCTAGTTCTTATATAGCGCTTTTCAGGACTGATGGCTCTCTCAAAGCACTTTACAGATATATATTTGAATGACTTTTTCTTGTAATTCTTTCCTTTCTATTTAAAGCACATAGGGACATGCTATCCTGTAATGTGTGACGCGCTATAAAAGAACTGAGTATTATTATCATTATTATATATATAATTACCCCGGTCATCGGATTCAGGCTTACCCGCGCGCACACACACACACAATGCATGCACATTCTCCATTCCCAGGGGAGCATTCAGCCAGGCGTCATTTTTACAAGCGCACACTTGCTAATCAAGCACATTAGTTTTCGCATCCTACCGGGTACCCATTTAACACCTGGGTGGAGAGTGGCAAATGTAGATCAATGTCTTGCCAAAGGACATAAGTGCCATGGTGGGACTTGAACCGCTGACCTTGTGATCCACAGTCCGTACATATCATATCTACTCGTCCATGACAACATGATTGTCTGAAATGCCAATTTTGAGGCAAACAAGTCAACATAAATGCACTTTGATGTTTTTATGTATATAAAACATTCATTAAGTTTGCGGTTTCACTAGGTTGGGTAGTCATGAAAAGGACTCTTGCCTTTGAAAGAGGTAGAAGAGAAAATGAGAGTGAGGGAGAGGTATTCTTTTAATTTAAATTTTGTGGGGACTACTTGATATCGGGAGAGAAGTTGAGAGAATTAAGAGAGAAAGAGAGGTATTCATTCATGAGTGGTGTCCTGAAAAGCACTGGTGAACCAGGGTATGAATGAAGAGAAGAGGCAGAGAGAAAGAAGGGGGAGAGTGAGAGAGAAAAGGGGGAGGGGGAAGGGGTGGGGGAGGGGAGTGGGAGGGGGAGGGGGAGGGGTGGGATAAATTAAAATACTTGATCTTACCATGCTGTGCCTAGGAATCTGCCCGATGGATGATACTCTACTCTGCTTACCCTGGCTTCGTGCCCTTCTATGTTAGCAACGGGTTCCTCACTGTGGAAACAATACATCAACAATAAAGAGTTGCTTGCTTGTTATTACAACACTTTGATAAAGGAGACATGAACCAATTATTTCAATTATTCCATGGATAAATATATATTTATATGCTCAAAAGTAATGAATTTGACCACTGAATATATTCCATTGGGAAATATGAACTTTTGACATTAACATCGTCATCATCATCCTCCTCCTCCTCCTCCTGCTCCTCCTCAGCTCCATCAACATTATTACCATTACCATTACCACTAACATCATATCAACATGTAGCAGCATCATCATCATCATCATCTTCATCATTCATATCCTGCTCCTCTTCCTTCTGTTAATCATCACATCATCATTATCAACATCAATATCATCGTAATCATCATTATCATCATCTTCAATATCATTACCATCACCATTAATCTTATAACCCATTCTCAATATTTATAAAACTTTACATGATCTTCCTCAAGAGTACTTTCCAAAGTTCCAAAGTTTGACTGCACTAACAGTCCAGTAGGCAAGAATCATTATCTTGTTTAACATTGATATAACAATCACACTCACCACACTTCCATCATCATTATCATCATTACCACCACCACCACCATCGTTGTCGTTGTTGTGGTCATCATCATCATCATCATCATCATCATCACCATCTTCAGTTATTTGCATTCATAAGATGATCTGACAGCAAAACTTACCTTTCAAAGCTCCAGAGTTTGACTGCACCATCGGCTGAGCACGAAGCCATACAGCAAGCGTTGGGTGAGAGTGAGAGCGTCGCCTGAGGATGGAACACCACACAACCCACATGGGCATTATGGCCTCTCAGTGTCTTGTAATGACTGAAGTCTGGTGATGTCCACAGCTTGATAAGACCACTCCTAAAAAAGCACCAAGATGTATACAAATTATAGGGTATCTGTTTTACACTTGTCAAAGCTTAGGATAAGTCCATCAGTTTGAAGAAGTGAACACACTTTATGTATATATTGTAAACACATTGAATCAAGCGTTAACTCCCAAGGGTGCGTTCAAGTTTTTTGAAGCTAGAATCACAAACATGAATCACAAATCAAAACGCCGTTAAAAATTACGTTATTACCAGCCTACATATACTTAACTGATCTTTGAGAAGTGTCTAACTTTTGTTTTTAAGTGGCCCAAACATTGTGGAGCGTGTGTGCAGCGCTTTGTAACTACAAAGAAAAGGCGCTATATCAAATATCTTTTGGATTGGATAATTGAGATCACCGTTTGTTCAAGCGATTTTTAGCGTCTGTGATTCTACAGAATCACGATACGAAACGCATCTTTTTCAGCGTTTCATTTTTGCTTTTTTAAACACGTTTATTTTTACGACCAACAAAAAAAATGCTTGAAATCGATTGAACGCAACGCGTTTTAAACTAAATGTCTTTGAAAACCGTGTGTCTAGGGTGAAAAAGTGTCGCTTGAATTCACCCTGAGTACCATGAATAAACATATTTAGCATAAACTTAAAATTTATTTTGAGTTTCCTCACTTCAGTTAAGACCAACAAATTTTTGAGTAGTGAGTAATTCCATTCCTAATTGCTGCCAATCAGCTGCGCTGATCCATTGACATGGCTGATATAAAGTTATTGAACATCATTGGCAAATCATTGCAATTAACTCGCTGTGAAAATAGAAATCTAACCTTTTAAAAATTGTAGTGATAACCTCAGGGGTGATTGTTTGGTCAATGGTTGAGTTAGTACAGAGATCGATTTACCTGCACTAATAACTCCATGAAAGATATTATAAGGTACTGAAGCATGCACAGTCAAACTTGTCTTTTAAGGCCAACCAAGAGAAACAGAAAAAAGGTGGCCACTGTAGACAAGTGGCCTTTCTAGACAGGTTCTACGACACATATTTCTTTCTCAAGGGAGACAAAACCCATGGCCACTATAGGAGGGTGGCCTTTATAGAGAGGTGGCCACTAAGACAGGTTTGACCGATTATGTTTTTATTTCATTCTATTTATTAAACTGAATACAGTCATACACAAGTTTTTTGACAACATGGATCCATAGAACTGGGCCCCATTTCACAAAACTTGTCATCAGTGACAAATGACAGTTTTTGTTATAATCTACTGAAATCCTTGCTTCTGATTGGTTATCAGCAGATTTGTCACTGACTTTTGTCATTTGTCATTGAAAAAAGGCTTTGTGAAACAGGTCCCTGATCTTCGAACAAAAGAAGCCACTCACCATGATGCTGTGGCAAGTAGTCTTGAGTCAGGGCTGAAACGACAATAAGAGATGGGCCTTGTGTCTCCAATCTGACTACCTATTGCTGTTAGACTCTAAGAAGAGAAAATAAAAATCATGATAGGTCACAAGAAAGCTTCAAACTGAAAACATATTGGCTGTATAATAATAATAACTACTTCTCGTAAAGAATCGTATCTTTACCAGTTACGACCGATTGAAGAGCTTACAATAATTACCCCGGTCATTGGATCTGCACATTCTCCACTCTCTGGGGAGCGTATCGGCTTTGAATCACATTGACCGTTGCATCCTACCAGGTACTCATTTAACACCAGGGTGGAGAGGAGCAATATGGATAAAATGCCTTGGACAAGGACATAAGTGCTGTCCCAGGTGACCTGTGCATTCCGAATAAAGTATTAAACCACTCAACTACAACACTTGTATAATATCATATTTGCATACATAATGAACTGAGAACAAATATTCATCTATGATTTCACCAAGTTTTGTAAAAATATTTCGCAGTTACTCATCTTTCATTAGAAATGACAAGTGATAACAAATGCTAACACCCCATTCCCAATATCACAATGGTACACATTTTTCAATTTAAAAAGTGCAGTTTCGCACATCAAAGTATAAATACTAATGGAAAGACTTACTAGTCTGGATTGGCTATGTGATCAAAATATAGTTGAAGACCATCCACTCATAAACTTTAGAAGGGGGCTGAAAAATAGGTTCAATGGAATTTTTGGGTTTGAATCCTAACCCCTTTTATGCTACCATAATTCCAACAATGAACTGGAGAATGACATTTTGATTCATAGTGCTTCGTTTCATGATTGAATCAGGCATAAAATGTCTTCCATGAGAACAAACTTCACAATAGCTGTATCTACTTCTGTTTCAGGGAGAGAAAACTTTAGGTGCTAGAAACCTTGGGGTCACATTTGATAATAATCTATCTCTGAAGACTCATGTGAACAATGTATGCAGATCTGCCTCATTTGCGTTGCATAAAATCGGTAGCATCCGTCAGTTTCTTACTAAAAAGACCACCCAGAGACTTGTTCAGTTACTGGTCATGTCTCGTATTGACTTTTGCAACAGTCTTCTGTATGGTCTTCCTGATGCACAAATTAACAAATTGCAGAGAGTACAAAATTCAGCTGCTAGACTTATTGCAAAGCGTCGTTCACGTGAGTCCATCACTCCACTGTTTAGGGAGCTTCACATGCTAAGAGTCCGGGAACGAATTGATTTTAAGATCCTCTTGCTGACTTTCCAATGTTTGACAAAAACAGCTCCAGTCTACCTTCAAAGGCTGATATCAGAATACTTACCCTCCCGCAACCTGCGCTCAAACAAGAAATCACTCTTAATAGTTCCTGCCACCAATACCCAGTCTTATGGTTCCCGAACTTTTTATGCAGCATCCCCTCAACTCTGGAACAATTTACCTCAATGTATAAAACAAGCAGATTCAACAGACAAATTCAAATCCATGTTAAAAACCTACTTTTTTGTTAAATAGCCTTTTTCATTTGCATATGCAGCCCCCTTGATTGTCCACTATCTATTATGTATAACTTAATATTTGGCTGTAATTCCTTCTCTTTCTATTTTTCTTAAGCGCTTAGAGACATATTTTGTGATAAGCGCTATACAAATGTTGTTAATTATTATTATTATTATTATTATTATTTTTAATCGCAACACACCGGTCAAAAGTCACATTCCTGGGCGGGATTGGCTGCCCACGACACAGAAAGGGGTAAAATAATTCTGGGGGGTGTTTCACAAAGATTTGAAGTCGAACTTAAATCTTATGGAGAGCCATTTGTAGCCTTAAAATAAAATATATTCAAAAGCGAAAAATCAAGTATTTTAGATTTTTTATAAATTCCACATCAAGAACATGAAATCTCCAATGATAATAGAAAATATAAATGATTTGAATCAACATTTTATTCCTTTTAAAATAACTTTTACAAAATATTTTCATAGATAGACAGCTTTCCATAATTGTTAACTTAGAGATAAGTTCAACTTAGGATCTTTGTGAAACACCCCCCAGGACATATTAGTTTAATGGTGCTTACCCTGGCCTTTCTGTGCAGTTCCTGTCTTCTGGCATTGGTCTGTGATTCAGGGATCCTCATGGCTTCTCTAGCTTCTTCTAATCTCTTGTCGGCTCTGTCAAGGATTACATTGCAACAAATACATCATCATCATTTGCTTTGAATTCATTGTTGGATTGTTCATAGTAAAACATTAGATTAAGTATAAATTACAGTGTTCACTTCATGTGCTTTATGTAATGCCAACAACTGAATTTCCAAATTGACCAATACAATTAATCTGAATCTGAATCTGAATTAAAAATAGATTTTATTTGTATAACTGTGAGAATTATTGCTTATCTGACAAGGACTTTTCTGGTGATGATTTTTGAACAACCATTTTGATATGATATTAAATATATCTTAATCATTTAACACAGATTTAGAAATAAAACATAATATAAAATGAACAAAATAAATCATATTTTGCATAGTACATTCAAACACAAGTATGATATGACATGACATGCTTGTGCATTTTGAGGAGAAATAAAATCACATTCTCTTCTCAAATGTACTAGCGTCATAAACCTTACAGAACATAATTTTTCTCAACAAATTTATTCACCTTGGTAATGAATACTCAGCGATCCAAAGTCTGGCATTTTTCAAACTGGCTGGGCCCTCATGATACCATGTAGTTTGTTTCTCCTGTGATATCAAATAAAACAATAATTGACAATGATTGGTAGCTCAGGGAGTAAATAATTACATCAATATGAAACCCAAAAGTTGAAGGCATTCCACTGTTATCTACCCTGTAAGATAAAATCTTAATGCATTATTGTATTGCAATACGACCACAAAGTCATTGCATTGTTTCACTCTATAATAAACATACATTTCAAGTGTTTCACACATTTAATAAGCATACATTTCAAGAGTTTCACACTACAAAATGAGCTTACATTTCAAGTGTTTCATACAATAAATAAGGAATTGAAAAGTTAGGGTGATTTATCTGGTCTGTGTATAATATCAAACAGCTTCAATCATGCCATCTCAGGAATATCTGATATTTATTGCCCTCTGGATTCCAGGATTGATTCATAATTTCAGAATTTCTTTTGGTAAGCTATCATTTTTCTTTAATTTCTCAATATAATGTTGAATTAAAGTGATTTAAATATAAATACCCAGGCCTGTAAATATCATAAAACAGGGTGTGTAGAACAGCAGTATGAATTTTATGAACCCATATTGGGAAAGTGTCTTGACATAACTTCTTTCTCCCAGGATTGATGTAGTAAATTTTTTTTTTTACATAATCATAAGTAAAAGTAATAGAGAAGGCCTGCATCAGTCCTGAGGTGAAAAATATGTGTCAGAAGTTTGTAAAATTTGTTCCTATTTACCCTATGTTTCAGTATTGGGTTATTTTGAGACAGACAAATGAGTGTTCATTCAGAAATCATACCGCTTCTCCGTCTTTGGCTTTCTCTTTGTTGGCTTTCTTGGCTTGTTTGTCTTGGTCAGCCATCTCCCCCAGAGCAGCAAGAAGATGGCGTAGCCTCTCTCTTCTTTCAGCTGGGCCCTCACTAAACAGACCTGAAGAAACGTGCAAAATATCTCTCCTTCATTCAATGCAAATGCTGTACAATCATAATTTTTTAATGAATTCTTCGCAAAATTTGGTGAATGGTTCGGATGCGCAAATGTTTCTTGCCGTGAGCATGGCCGTCACTAGCAGGGAAAAAAATTAACATTTTTTTTCGGGGCTACTTTTCAAGCTCCCGTGCATGAAAATAGCACTCTAAAATTTAGTTTGCATTGAACTCTATGCAAATTTACGGAGGCTCTTTTTGGCATTTCGGGGACTAAATCGCCCTGAGCCCCCGTGTATTTCTTTTACTGATCACTAGCAATCGGCGAAATTTTCTTGTTGCAAAAGTCTTTAGTTTTTCAGTAGTATATGTGTACTGAAACAAGAAAATATGCACAATAGAGGATGATAACAGCTTTCCCCAAGACAGGTTGAAACTCTCTTCAAAGAAATTGGAAACATTTAATTGATCTTGCAGATGAAGCTCGCTGTTTACTCAAAACAAAACAGTTCTCAAGTATAATATATCTTTGGATATGGCAATGATTTTCACAATGTACAACCCTGTAAATATACATACACCATGATAATTCCTGATTTGCGATATAAATTTATGTAAAAAAGATTGAGAACAAAAAAGCAACTAAAAAAACCCAGCTAGAGCGTACTTCAAAAACAAAAGTTGGTATAAAAAAGTCACTTACAGATAGGTTCTCCATATTTCCTAAGCTGTGCCTTTACTTCGGAATCATCTGTTGAAACTGTGATTTGCCTTGCCTGAGTAAAGGATTGATAATAGACTTGATTAGATAATAAACTCTTCAAAGGGGATTAAGAAAATAAAAGACAATTTTGTCCACCCCTATCATATAGATACTCTAAATTCATTACTTCATACAAGTATGTGGATGAGCAAAAAGTAATTTAACATTCCTCAAACAGTAATATAAGTGTACATAATTAAAAATGTTTATTGAGTTTATATGAAAATGTTCATTTCATTCAAACTATGATTTGACAAATTGGAAGATATAATGAATTTAAGCTCTTTAAGAAGTAAATAAAATGAACTAAAATACACAAACCTTTCTTCTTCTTTCAAACTCTGCCAATAATTCTTTCCTTCTTTCACTGATATGTTCCTCCATGTCAAATGTTTCACCTGTAAAAAAAGAGGTGTGGAATCAATTCATGCTCAAGTAAAACTTCAAATGTTCAATCATGAAACTTGGTGATTCGCGAACCTGTTGAAAAACAGCCTGTGACTAAAACAAGTTAACAGTGTTGTAATAAAATATAATTAGAATGAAGAGCATTGACATCACCTGCAGGCCTACCATTTCTTGCTTCTAGAACAATTTTATACAGGTTATTAACAGGACACATCTTCCTCACAAGGGCTACTACTCAGAGATTTCATGCATCACAACGCACTTACACAATATATTTCATACTTGCTTTTACAGAGGCATTTTTCAGCACCAATGGGGCAAGTAACTCTCATTCCCATCATTTTGTCCCTCCTAGTTTTCAATACAAAGATGTAGGTTAAAGCCACACTGTACTACTTGTAGCTACTTGCATCCTCTATATAGCAAACAATGCCTAATTGGTCCCCAATGATCCTCTTTTTCTTATGTTAATTGAGAGCTGATTTGACGAGATAACCACCTGTCAGTGACCTTGCAGGGAGGTCTAATTCCCCTGGCCAAACTAGTGCAGACGGGCTTTAAATGGAGTAATGACTTACCGGCAGACATGTTTATGTTGCCAGCTTCAAGAACGATGCCGGTGGCATCTGACACACCAGTTTTCTTGAGATGCTCCTCCAGTGTGCCATAGTGAACCCTCGGCTTCTTCAAGGCGGATAGTCCATCCTCCTCAGACATCTTGAATCAGTCCCTTGATTGTGGTGGTTCACTGAAAATAATAAAATTTCAAGACATGTCATCGATGACATGAATATGATTGCATCTCCCAATATGCCTCTACCCATATTCAGTGAACTATTTATTATATCTTGCCATTACACTAATTTTTCAAAATGAAATTTTCTTCATGGGTCCAAATATTTGGAACGATCTAGATCTAGACTCTACAAAAAGAAATTAGTCTGAGCCCATCACTGAATTAATATTAAAAACAATTGTAGTTATTATAAAAGTACTTGATAGTGCAATAACCTATAACCTAAAATTTATCAGACAGGTAAATTTTTAGGCCTGGGGGGTTATTTTCCTTTTATTTTTTTGTGGTTGGAGGGGGGGGGGGGGTTCATTTTCTGGGGTGGGGGGGGGGGGGGGGGGGGGTGGGGAGATTGTCCAGGGGGTAACTGTCCTTATACGTCTTTATTCATGTCCGGAAGAATATTAACACTTACACTAGTAACAGTATCGTCCACGAAAATGCGGATGATCTTTATTTTTTAGGACGAATCTGTTCGCTTTAACAAAGACGATCCTCGTTTATGCGGACGATCCTTTTCGGAACAGCGCCCCTAGCCCTACTGCTAATAATAATAATCATGATGATATAACCGGCAATAAAAAGGAGGGGCACTGGTCCGAGAATAAGGATCGTCCGCATTTTCGCACACAATGCTGATTTCCGATCCACAAGATGGAGATGCGAAGAAAAAAACGGACTCCAAAATGCATTTCACATTGTCTTTGTACAGAAACTTTTACGTTTTTAAGAGCGATAAATCCTTGGGCTTGGGAAGACGGATCACCCATAAAACTAGGAGACGGTGAACTGTGGGTATTTTATTACGCAGAATTGCCAGCGCGCAGTTTAGGAACCCGAAACCTGCAGAGCACCGAAGAAAAAAACGTCCGCGAAAATGCAGACGCATTTTCTGCGCATTAATTCTTATCATGCCACATAATCTCCATTGTGCCAAGCCCCAAATCCCCCCGTGCCAGGTTGTTTTGGAGATAATCTGATTAACGCGATGGATCTATGAATAGCGAGTGCAAAACACACAGCACAGTCCAATGAATGAGCATGAACAATAACTGCTATTACGATTGCGCCCTTGCATGCACATGGCACTCAAGCGATGGCTCTCTTGCATGTTCAAAGCACTATACCAATAGTGTGCATTCAGCCTTATGGCAGGCTATGAGTTAACAAGGATTTTCCTTGTTTATGCGGACGATTAACGATCCTCATTCTCGGAGTGCCAGCGCCCCTACTGAAGAATGATAACCATGCCATGTCATCAGTCATTTTTGCATTCAATTCCAAAATATCACTGTCACTTGACTAACAAATAAAATATTTGAGCGGCGTAAAAATTCGAATTCGAAAGTAAAAAGACCCAAAGACTTCCGTAATCGGATGACTGTCGAATTCGAAATGAAATATCTAGTTTTGAACACACGATTTTTAATATGTGGGACATGCTAAACAGTTGTGGAGCATATTTCATTCTTAAGTGTGGAAAAGTAAGTTTTTAAAAATAAAAAAATTAGGAGATTTATATTAACACCACATAAAGGGTAGAGCTACATCGAAAAAAATACAAATTTATGGTAAAAAAGATGAAATAATACGACCCGTTCTTACCAGTATTTCACGTTTGTGCGCCGTCGCAAATATGGTAGAAGATAGTGATTAGAAATTCATTAGAAAATTCGTCGCAAAATTTTGATCAACTTAAGAGCTTGATGTTATCTATTAGTTAAGAGTATTCTTTTGATTAAAAACACTAATTTTAGAATAATGAAATAATTATTAAAAACATTATTCATCAATAATAATACATTAATTATATAAAAATACCATAAGATTAAGTGTTAAACTAAGTATAAACTATTTTGATCAGTAAAAATTACTCTTTAAATTGATAAAGAGCTTGGACTCGAAATAAAATAATAAGCCATTTTTTCATTCCTAATAACTTTTCAGTCGCTATAGTGTTTTAGTTTTGTAAAAATGTACATTTTTCACTAATTTGGTTTGTTGACCTACTTGAAGTTTTTCAAATTTATTATTTAAAATAATATTTGAAATATAAGAACTAAAAGAATAACTGATATTTAAATTTTAGTTATCTGTTTAACTTTATGTTTTATAATCATCTTGAAAAAAGACTAACTTGTAGTACACGTATCATGATCTTCTAAAATCATTAAAATCCTAGCCTGGAATTTAACTTTAAAGTGAAGTTGAGGTATACGGATTGTTAGGTTGGCCTTTTTACAAATTTATTCCCAAGAGTGCCTAACTGAGGTGTAAAAGGATAATTATCTGCGCGTATAGAGGATTGACACATCGCCTCTGTAATTCATCATTGCACCACATACTCATTTTGGTGTTGGCAAAAGATTGGGAACGGTACATCCACTCTCTAAAATCCGGGCTCGCCGTCTGTCTCGGAAACTGCGAAAATAATCTCAACAAAATGGTTCTGATGACGATGATAGCTCGTGTTGCTGATGGACTGCCCCTAGCAGCATCGATGCAAGAGGATGAACAAGTAAGATACCATCTTTGAAATGTTTGTGGGGACCGGACGGGGTCGGGGAGGAGAAGGAGCCTGAGAAGAACTTGAAAAAAAAGTTGAAGTAGAAGACTAAAGAAGGAGGAGGAGGAGGAGGAGGAGGAGGAGGAGGAGGAGGAGGAGGAGGAGGAGGAGGAGGAGGAGGAGGAGGAGGAGGAGGAGGAGGAGGAGGAGGAGGAGGAGGAGGAGGAGGAGGAGGAGGAGGAGGAGGAGGAGGAGGAGGAGGAGGAGGAGGAGAAGGAGGAGGAGGAGGAGGAGGAGGAGGAGGAGGAGGAGGAGGAGGAGGAGGAAGAAGAGACAGAGAGAGAGAAAGAGAGAGGGGGAGAGAGAGAGAGAAAAAGGGGGGGGGGTGCAAATCTAAAAGTCGAGTCCCTACTAAAAGGAGGAGAAGCAGGAGGGGGAAATTAGATTAAAAAGATATCACTTTGGTCTACTTGACTTGCTAAATGATGAAGGAAGAGAGGCATGCTTCATAAAGTTTGGGAAGGGACAGATAGTTTACCAGAAAAGAAAGAATTTATGCTTGCCAAGTGGCAAATGGCAAAGACATGAAAGAAGTGATGCTTGGAGAAGCATTCTTCAATTAAAATAATTTTTGTTGGTGTTAAATGTTGTTTGGAAGTTAGTATGATTTGATTTTCGCTTTCGTTTCACTTTTAATAACATTAAATGGCAGTACTGTATTGTAATGTATGAGTGAAGTGCTCTTTATGAAGTTTAAATCTGTATAACTTTAACTCAGATTAGGTATGTAACATTAAAGATATAATTAATTAAATTTAGATACAATCATCAACAGTAACTATTTAGTAGCTCCAGAAATGTGGAAAGTTAAGAGTTTCAAGTAAGTTATGGAATGCTATTTACATGGCTGTTATAATTAGAATTCTTTTAATTGAATAATCTTGTGATTCCTTGTCTCTTGGTTACAGGCAGGCCGTAGCTTACAGGAGTACCAGACTCAAGCCAAGATGCTCTTCAGAAATCTCAAGCTCAATGAGTCATCCCCGACTAGGTTTACCATCGAATCTGGACCGATGTTTTTCCAGTAAGTGTGGTTTTCTCTCCCCATCTTTCCTATCATGTTCTTCTTCTGTGGAAGTACATGTACAGGCCAATATGTTGTATCTGTGTACTTTTGTGTATCTTTTGCATTTGTTGATCTTTGTACGTTCATTGATCGTAATTGTAATTTTAACAACAGTTATACATACATTTGCTAGCTCTCAATATAAAAATTCCAACAAAGAAATCAACAAGATTCTTGATACACAATCTCTATGGTGTTGTTTGTTCCATCATCTGTCAGTTTAAGCTGGGACACAGTGCAGTAATTATTTTATTGCGTTCCCCTGTAATAAAAATAATGATCTAAAAGCCAAACCTGTTGAAATGTAATCCAGAGCAAATTCTATAGAACATTTCAAGAAAATAATGGGGAAATAAAAAGATGATCAACAGTTTGTACCCTTTTTGTACTACATGGTTATTAAAGTTGTGGCATCTCCAAACATACTGTATGCAAATCAGTCACTCAACGGTTGCATCATTTCTAAATGCCCCTTGTTTGTATGTTATTTTTAATAAAATGTCATGAACTTCAATTTTGACATGTGCTTGAGCCAACCATAGGCATACTGTATACATTTAACAATAGACACAATCTTGCTAGCCTAAATTGAAAAGGGAAATTAATGAAATTATTGCAATATTCATTTGCTGTTCTTCTTTTACAGCTACTTGATACAGACTGGGATCTGCTACCTGACACTCTGTGAGAAATCTTTCTCCAAGAAACTTGCATTCAACTATCTGGAAGAGCTCCATCAGGAGTTTTATTCACAGTATGGCAAGAGAGTACCAACAATAAGCAGACCATACTCGTTCATTGAATTTGGTAAGTATGGCTATTTTTAAACCTAGTTTCAAATACTCCAATTATCCTAATTTGACAGTGTGTTAAACTAAATATCACCGCAATTTGGGCCTTTTTTATATTGTATACAATCACTTTAGCTGTGGCTCAGAATCACGTAGGAGGTATTTTGATAGTCATTAGTAATCATTTGAAACACTTACTTAAAGAGAAGGTTGAGTTCTGGGAAGAGGTGAAAATAATTTGTGAGCGTTATCATCTTTTTTATGCAAGTGTGGAAGAACATCAGATAACAAATGTTCCCTGAAAAGCATGGCTCTTCAAATGCCTTAATATTCTAAATATGGCATGTAACCAGGCGCGTACATGGGGGGGGGGGGGTTTTAGGGGGTTAACCCCCCCCCCCTTTGGTATTTTTTTTGTGTGTAAACCCCCCCCTAAATTTCCCTAAACCCTCCTCTTTTGGATTTTTTTTTTTTTTTATTTAAAAAAAAAAAAAAAAAAAATATTTCCATGGCTGACCTCAAAAAGTTGACCTTACCCCCCCCCCCTGTTTATTCAGCGGTCGCCTGAGTCGTTGCGATTAAAAAAAGAGTGACCTCTTACCCCCCCCCCCCCCCCCCCGCTTATTCAGCGGCTGGCTGAGTCGTTGCGAAATTTTCGGCCCGATTTATAAATGTTAAAACCCCCCCCCCCCCCCCCCCCCTTGAAAAAATCCTGCGTACGCGCCTGCATGTAACAGCATAAAAAGAGGGACATATATTAATTCCATATGTTTGTGTAGTCCCATATTTTTGTGTACAGTGCTTGTAACTTTACCAAGACTGGGCCAAATTTCTTATCATTTTCATGATTCCAGAACCTTGCAGTACACACCAATACTTACATGTGCTAGATAATCAACCTTTTCTGATCGATTCCACACCGTTTCTTTCACAATGCAATCGCATGACCATAACTCAACTTTATCTTTAAGAGGGTCATTTACACTAAGCTCCCTTGGATGATGAAATATGAATCTTCCATCTTGCAGATTCTCCATTTCTCCATTTTTTTAAATCATCCTGTTACAATTTGATTGAAAATGCTTGCCTTTTAAGCATTGTTTAGTTAATTTGTGAACAATTCTTTTTCTTGTTATACGTATAAATGCTGAAAACAAGAACTAGAATATTACTGAAGTGAGTACGTACTGTTTCTTGTATCATATTACTAATTTAGTATTTATTTGCTTTCTTTGAGCATTCCATATAGTAGTGCTACACTATTTTGCTAAATCTTAAAACTCAATCCAAGTAAAAATAGAAAAATGCATTTAGCAGCAAAAGATTATTTATCATCTTCCTGATTTGTTTGTTTCCGCAGACACCTTTATACAGAAGACCAAGAAGTCGTACACAGACACGCGAGCCAGACGGAACCTTGCCAACATCAACACAGAGCTACAAGATGTACAGAAGATCATGGTACAGAACATTGATGATGTCATGAAGAGGGGGGTTTGCCTCGAAGGTAAGGGTAGAGTCAGTGGTGTAGTTATAAGGGGGAGGAGCATGGGGGCACATGGCCCCTTCCCAATCAGTGTTAACAGAAAGGGTAAGGGAGAGGGGAAGGGCAATATTTATGAAGATGATACAACACCCTCTTGCATCCTCTCATCACTCTTTGGCCTCAGTACATGTATGTGCTTTTCAACCACCCATTATTTTCAGGTACTCCAACGATGATACCAATGCCCTCTCTTGGAAAAATAGGGGGGGGGGGGAGGTAGAAGAGAAAATGTGGGAGAGGGAAAGTGCAATATCACACAAAGATGGTACAACCTCCTCCTCCTGCATCCTCCCATTTCTCTTTGGCCTTCTTACATGTATGTGGCCTTGTAGGTACTCCGTCCATGATACTAACACTCTCTCAATGGCTAGTGGGGAGGGGTAGCACCAGTGTTACTAGTCTTTCAGCCATGTTGAACGGAGTTCCATTTTGGATGTGCCTCGAGACATGTTGACCACAAAACTTTAAATGTCGCATCTTCTATTAAAAATTATATCATGAGATACATTCGCAGACATGTGGTAGATTAGAAAAAAGCCTGTCCTATTTCACAGATAAACTTGAGTTACCAGCCAAGTTCCTACTTTATTACGAGCCTAAAAACTAAAGAGAAGAGAAGAGAAGAGAAGAGAAGAGAAGAGAAGGAGAAGGAGAAGGAGAAGGAGAAGGAGAAGGAGAAGGAGAAGGAGAAGGAGAAAGAAGAGAAGAGAAGAGAAGAGAAGAGAGAGAAAGAGGAAGGGGTGGGCAATTCATCAGCCATTGTCACTTGGTTTTATAACATACTAACAGAAGCATTGGTTCTTTATTTTTACAGAGCTTGATAACAAGGCCAGCAATCTCTCAACGATATCCAAGAAATACAGACAAGATGCTAAAAACCTCAACCTTAGATCAAGGAACGCCAAAATCGCTGCTATCTTAGTCATCATATTCCTTGTGTCCCTAGCCCTCTACTTTTGGTGGTGATTCTAAGTGATTTGTATTTTACATGTTAGGATAATAGTCATCATCTCCAATATTAAAACACACTGTAAATTAACACATTCCTGTAAATAGAATAAATTATATTAATACCCTACCAGGTTCAGTAATAGAATTTAGAATTTAATAAAAATAAATTTTTGTTGTACCCTGTATATGATTTCTCTTTTTCATTGCGAATATAGAAACTAATCAAGGGCTTAAATATTTAGCAATGAAATATACATTTTTATTCTAATAACTAATAACAAATCTAAAGTTTGCTCATATTGTCTGCTGGGAGCAAGAAGAGCATTCACTGATATACTTTTACACATGGTTAATGCCTTTCTGGCTTTCAGTAGAGGATGTTTTTTGTAGAAAATGAGCTAGTCACAGGTAGACTGACAAGGGAAGCCAAATATGTTTTATGTACGAGTGCTCATAACTAGTACTTGTCACGACTATATTATATAGTGTGTTACTAGCAAAAATGATCGGGTATGTTCTCTATATTTGGTTGACTTTGATCTTAACATGGTGTAGAGTGCAAGCCTTTGAATACATCTAGTCCTATTTGACAAACCAATATGTTGTTTATTGATGTTTTAAAAAGGGTACCATACTTTTGATGCACTGCTCCTGGTTTTCCCTTTCAAACAACATATACCTTTGGAAATTTAAGTAATTGAGATGTTGTAAAATTCTGTCATCGTCGTGTACAGTACATTCAAATTAGATCTTTATGTTCACAGAGCTCTTCGGATGTGTGTTTTATGCCTGTTTGTATACAGGAATGTTTTTGACAACAAGAAGCAAATACAGACTTAAGCAAATAATTCATGTTGGGCTATTATTGATATAAGTCATTTTTACGCTTTGGATTATACTATTATTTTTAAAGAATTACAATTCTGAAAGGCTTTCCCAATTGCCTGTTAATCAGTTTTTGTTCTTCTTCATATGGATAGAAATTACTGTCAAACAGCTCAGCTTGACTTACGAATAAGATTTCATGTTGGTGTTCCTAAAAAAAAAACCATGGTTGACAATTTTGGGAATCTTTCATCTGGAGGTGTATGAAATATTACTATTTTGCTTGATGGAGTAAACCCATACAAATGCAATACTGATAGCTTGTAATGTGAGATTTTATAGCATTCTTGAATCTGCGTGTTGCTATACTCAAACTTCATTTTTTTTTCTCACACAAATGAATTTGTCTGTCAACGGTTGTCTAATTCGCCATTTGAATTTCATGTTTATATAAATTAATTTGAGGGATGGTTTGTCAATAAAATCGTATTGAATTTCTATTCAACTACTTTAATTCCTAATACTAAAGAAAAAGCAAAATTTTAAGATAGGATATTTTAATAGAAATATTATCTGCAAGAGGTTAAGAGAGGTCACAAGGGGGATGTATTATATATGAAGTTAAAGGAATAGTTTGATGACAAGAACTTTTGATTTCGTTGCCCAGCCATATAAAACATAAGTTACATATAATATGGAATGTATTGTCTGCTGAGAGCCAGAAGGGTGTTATCTTTATATATACTTTCCCACAGATTTAAAGATGAAGTTGAGTTCTGGTCATGCGATTGTATTGTGAGAATTTGTGTGTATTGCAAGGTTCTGGAATCATCAAAATGATAAGAAATTTGGCCATGTCTTGGTAAAGTTACAAACACTGTACACAGAAAGATGTATATGGGACTACACAAAAACGTGGTGTAAAAATCCTACCCTGGATTTTTACGATGTTACATGACATGTATAGAATATGAAGGCATTTGAAGAGCCATGCTTTTCAGGGAACATTTCTTATCTGATTTTTTTCCACACTTGCATAATAAGAATGATAACGCTCACAAATTATTTTTCACCTCTTCCCAGAACTCAACCTTCTTATTAAATGCATGCTTTTTCTTGAAAATAGACAAAGCAAAAAACAGTTTTAAAAAATTGTTATACCGGTACTCAGAATTCATTGCCTGTATTGAGTTTTCATGATTGTATGATGTTTTGTAAATAAAGTGGGGAAGAAAGAAATATCTGTTGCTATCGGAAATAAGAATAGGGGATGCATAAATAATGATGAATTGGATATTAGAAACAGAAAAGCTTGATATAGATCCCACATCTTTTCATAAGTTCATCTTAACATATTAATTTGTAGTTTTATTTGGGATAGTAGGTTCAGATTATTCTTTTGTATTAAAAATTGTGTAATTTTTCTCTTGCATTAAATGTAACAGTTTAGGCAGAGTGCCTACATTTGATATTTAAACAAATTGCGTATAGCTTGTAAATTCAATGCAATTAAATATATATACAACGGACGAGTTCTCAATTTATATTTTTGGTGGTGTAATGTAATAAGACGTTAAGTGAGGTGTTTTTTTTTCCAAGCTGAACATCCGCTTTGGTAAATAATTATGTCGAATTCAGTGTTGAAACTTGAAAGAAATATGTTTGGATGTCACGTTGTTTGGGGAAAGACTTGTTGGAATCCGTATATTAGCGTCAAGATGGATGGATGGATGGATACTGTATGTATGTATGGGTGGGTGGAATAGAGATCTATAAATACATGTCTATGGCAGTATGTATATCAGCATGGATGGATGGATGGATGGATATATGAATGTCTTGGTGGATGAATGGTTTGACGGATTAATGAATAGATGGATGTATAAATATGATATATGATAGAGGGGATGGGTGGATGGATGAAGGATGAATGGATGGTTGTATAAATGATAAAAGGGGTGGATGATGAACGATGAATGGATTAATAAATGGATGAATGGATGTATAAATAATGATAGATGATTAATGGGATGGATAGATGGATGAATGAATGGATGAGTGGATGAAGGATGAATGGATTGATGGATTGATGTATAAATAATGATAGATGATAAAGGGATGGATGAAAGGTTGAATATGATTGATAAATAAATGGGATGGATGGCTGGATAGATGGATAGATTAAATTTATTGGTGAAAGGGTGGACGCATGAATAGATTAATAGACTCACAGATCAATGAATGTATGGTAGAATGAATAGTTGGATGGATGAAATAATAGGTAAATGGATAGATGCAACAAAACCTGAATTAAGACTTCCAATCATGACACAAATCAAAATTCAAGTATAACATGATTTTATAATTTATTAAATAACTTAAGATATCACAATCTCACTGCTTGGTTATAAAGCTGAAGCATTCATTTTTTTCTCCTTCAAATTTGAACATTATCTCCTCATCTTAAAATATAATTGTAGACTCAGAGGCATACTTTTTACTTCTGTTAGTACAGGGCTCTCCAGGAAAAATATAAAATGAGGTCATTCATGCCGAACATCACTCTAATTTAATCCAACAATTGATTTACGAACCGTAATTACTATACCATGTAAATACAATTGGAGAGAGGGGGTCAATGGTTGAAAGGGAAAGGGGGAAATAAATATCTTACCAAATTCATTTTTAAAGGAGAGGGGGGGGGGGGGGGGGGCTCTTTGGTAATTTTGGAATGGCAAAAATGACAAAATACATAAGTTTTAATGAGTTTTCATAACTGTAGACCAATTACTTTTATATCAACTATGATTAAATCAATAACTATTGAAGAAAAAAAAATCACATTTATAATGTAATGAATACAAAATTGGGGTGATTAGAAACTTCCTATTCACAGCTATTAGGAACCTATATTTGAAAAAGGTTTTCGACAGATTTCACGATCGTGTAGGCCCAATCACACAGACGACGCACGGCCCGTGCATTAAAAATCAGAAAAATAATGTCACTGCATCGATGTGCGCCAAACTTTAGTCAGGGTTCGGGAGAAGTAAGCGAGCAGACACCGAATGCAAAGCGGGAACCAGCGTCAGATCAACGTCAACAAGGATTTGGCAGTCCGGGATTTTCCGGCGATCCTAGTTAAAAATATTTCTTTCTTTAGAAACAGAGTCAATCTATACTGAAGCCTCGCGGTTAAAAAAGGATTACTGTTCAGTCGTGAAGCATCCATCAAAATATTGTTAGTTTCTTGTGATCATCTCGACTGGTTTTCTGTCTTTCCAGCTTTCTCTGCGATGATTTCAGAGTGGCAAGGTAGTCTTCTGATCTTTGGATCTTAAGCTGAATAGCTGCACACGATGTCTTATCACTGCAAAAACAAAGAAACAAACATACAAGGCAAAAAGAAATGAAAGGTTAGAGAGGGTGATTATCATCGCAAGCCCATCTGGATTCTGTAAAGCAATTGCTTGATGTGCTTTATGTTGTCTTTAGACTTGTATAACTGCTTCTAAACGGGAACATGGATATAAGTTTACATTGTATGTCTTTCAAGTCAATAATAATAATAATACATAACATTTATTAGGCGCTTAATACTGATGTTTCTAAGCGCACAGTGTTCTGATTAAGAGAAGACTATAACCCGTAGAATTAAATTAGAAGAAAAAGCAAAAATACAAAAGTAACATAGATAAGGTAAGAAAAACAGTGGCAATCAACTAAATAAAGACAAATATGGTGCGCACCTCCATTGACCGACGCACAACTGCAATTTACAATTTGAAAAGATAGGTTTTGAGTAGAGATTTGAATTGAGATACAAGTCGTGTAAATTTGTCCTTTTATCTTCTTAATTCTCATATATTTGATGTTTGTTTACTTTTTATACTTTTAGTTTTGATTTAACTTTGTTTCTGTATTTCTAATGCAAATGCAGAAATAAATTCAATTCAATTCAAAAGGATCTAAGGATCATTTATCACTCTTAAATTAAAATACTAAAAAAAGATTTATTTTTCTGAAAAATAATTTTTTGTAATGGTAGACTTTTTAAAATAAATGTTGGTATAAGATATATTAATAATAGTTTTTTTGCAAGAAACATACTAGTTATAATGTACTCACAATAATAGCAGATAAAGATAGTATGGTTTATGTTTAAGACGAAATAAAGAAGAGAGGGGTAGAATACATTTTCTTTTTAAATTCTAAAAATGATTTGACTTTAATAATCTAGACATAGGCCTACCTTTGATTCCTAACTAATGACTTTCTTAGTTGTGTTAGCCTCTTCTCTGTAGATCTAGTTTCATCCTGTGTTTTTAGAAGCTGTATGATTGCAAAATAAATAAGAAAGAAATAATCACGACTTTTTCTCACTTTAATGGGTACAAATGTAAAATATTCACAATACGGTACATAATAGCTTAGAAAATACTGCAGATACTGGGAAAACAACAACTAAAAACTGTTTTTTGTTTAAATTAAAAGACAAACAAAAAACCAGACAACAATACAACCAAATAAACAAAACAAATGTGCATGTTTATCCGAACAGTTCTGCCTTGAACTTTTACATAAAATATGTCTTGTGAAGAGGTGAAAAGGCAAAATATAAACTCAAATACAATGTTCATGGGCACCACAAGTTTTTAAAATAAAACAGAAACAAATGCAGATATAAAAAAATTAACGCTAATAAAGGAGAGGAGGTCCCTTCAAAGAAATCAAGAAACACAAGAGCCAATCCCCCCCCCCTTGTCCCCCAAAACAAGAGAGCTAATCTGACTGATCGATCTGACCTCATAATGCGATAATCACACATAGCGAGAATCATGTTACAAAGAATGAAAAAAAAGAAAAGTCAAGCAGAAACAAGAAAATGTAATCAAACATAGGAAATCATCATCATCATCACTTTAAAGAGAAAACTGAAACAAAATTAAGAACAAAAAAACAGACCTGAACATTTAGTTGTCTTGTGTTAGCTTTCTTCTCTCCCTGACTCTCCTCTCTGCGTATCCTATTAGTCTTAACAAACAATGTGTTATCTGCTAACAGTTCGTTGACCTTTACTGCAGGGTTAAAAGGTCAAAAATAAAATATACCGGATGAAGGTTTGATCCTTAGAAAGGATCTTCAACAAATTCCTGAACATGTCGATCAAAAGGAAATGCATTGATCTATTTCAATGAACTGTAAAAAGGTTGATAGTATTAAGCTAGAGGCTAGATTTTCAAACCTGGGGTCCTTTGTACTATTTTGATACACGCAGGACTTTTAAAACTATCCAATGAAAACCGGCATAAATCACTACTAAACAAAAACCTGAGCTGTAACTCTTTACTGTTCATATTTTAACCATTTTTCAAATGCAAACACAATAATTACACACAATATGTAAAACGATTTGCAATTTGTCATTGATATTCACAACCACACACATTACCAATGTAAGATGTAAGTTTATATATCTTTAAAAATGGTAATGATTGTAATGATTGCATATCGAAATAGCAATGACGTATTAACTGGATATCTTGCTTGTACAGGAGTAATCAATTTTGGAAAGAACAAATAATAATAATACAACATTGGTTTTCTTTGAATTATCCATTCAGCAAACAATAAGGAACTGGATGAATGTGTGTACAAAATCTGATGTGTCATGCAAATAATGAAATCATATTGACAACTTGAAATATAAGCCACTCGACATTTAAGATAACAGTGTACGGTAAGAGAACTTACTTTTCTTTGCACCAAGATGAGTATTGATAAACTCGAAGACATCTTTAGGCTTCTTTAACTTGGTCATGTTGCTGTTTCCTGCACCGTTTTTCTTCTTTCTATTCTTCCCTTTCCCCCTCTTCTTCTTCTTTTTACCCACAATGCCAAGTTTCTTTGTCTCTCTCAATTTCATGATTGCGTCCAACGACTTCCCTGTAATAGAACAGACAGAAAACTTCCAAGAGTTTAGATTTGTACATGTAATCTTACTCGTCTTTTCATAAACGCAGAAGGGCAAGCTTTTTATTGAATTGATAATAGTGATCTAATCATGCAAGGAATTACTTGGAAACTTTGTCTGAATTAAAATCCATTGACTAGACACACCCCTTAATCTGTTTCATACAACTCTTTTAACTGCATAAAATGAAAAACAGAATAAAGATACGGCAAACTTACGGCAATCATTAACATCTTTAGACGGACTAGAATTCAAGCGAAGCAGATTGTAATAATATTTCTTGCAGCTTTTTGCTAAATTACTTAATTGTAAAGTTCTTTCTCACTTTAACTTACAATTGCGACCCTTTCTCAAAAACCTTCTTTTTTCTATCCCTTTTTGGTAATCTACTACTCATAAAATTTATCCTAGATGAACATATGCTTTCTTGGTCCTCACTAAAAATCTATTATATTTTTTTAAAACTCTGCATTAAAGCCTATCTGTACTAGTTTGGTCAGGGGGGGGGGGGGGTTAGATCTCCAAGCAAGTTCACTGACAAGTGGTTATCTCATCAAATCAGCTCTCAATTAACATGAGAAAAAGAGGATCATGGGGGACCAATGGGCACCTCTTAGGCATTGTTTGCTATATAGAGGGAGCAAGTAGCTATAAGCAGTGCAGTGAGGCTTTAAAGTATTATCTAGAAACACAAAGATTTCAGGGAAAAAAAATCATGACACATTTGAGTGGAACTGCCTACCTGGCGGAACCATCACAGCTTCAACCGGTTCTACTCTCCCTTCTCCATGCTTGCCAAGACCTTTCCTGTATCAAGAAAATATATATAAGAGTCATTCCATGGTGTTGGGGTAATTTTTGTGACATATCAAGGCCCCGTCTTATACAGAGTTGATATTAATTGTAAGTTATTTGCTATTTATATCAATCGCAGTACATAAGAGATTACAAACTTGCGATTGATCCAAATCACTTACAAATCTTGATAAGAAAAGGCCCAGAAGTGAGAAACTATGTCTCCTATCAACCATAACAACATTTGCTGGAATTTAGTTTAGCTTAAAAAGCATAGCGAACCATGTTTAAAAGCACTCTACCGTCATGGTAAATTAATATTGTAGACCCCAGTTTATGTAATGTTATATAAAATAAATGTGATGTCTATGTAACACTGGTAAAAAACAAAAATGCATGTTAAGCAAAGATTTTGAAGAGAAGCAACTAACACAATGTCTTGCCAAAGGACATTAGTGCCGTGGCGGGACTCGAACCACGGACCTTGTGATCGACAGTCCGGCGACGTATCTACTCGACCACGACACCTCTACATCCCTGTACTTGATATATGAGAATGAGTAGTTACCCTATCTCATAACCCATCATAGCCATGATCTTTGAAGCGATTCCTCTGGTGTGCGTCTCCCATTCTCCCAGCTTACAAGACGGCCCTGAAGGCATCCATAACACATCTGGGACTTCATCCTCCTCCTCCTCTTCCTCTTCATCATCATCCCCAAGCCGACTCCTGCTCGATGTCGATGGCTCGTTGTGATCACTATCTATGCTACGGTTTTCATCCTCCTCCTCCTCATCATCGTCTAATGCCGTTTGAGTTCCTATCAGTATGCAACACAAGAAGCGAAAGTTATCATTGCGCGCGCTTCTTATTCTTCAGAATTCATTACTCTTACTCACACGAGAGGGCAAAGCTGATACATGCACTTATTCAAGAATACAAGCAATAACATTGGAGGTCTCATGGGGAAGCTTTTTACTGCTCTATGCTTGTCGAGACTACCATTTTTTAAATCTTAAACAATATTTTCTCAAATTCATGAGTTTCTTGCACATCAATATTTGTATAGATGAAACTGAAATCATCCTACAGTTAACAGTTCATTTCAACAACAAAAAACAAAAATCCAAACATTTTTATTTTAAAGATATTTTTAATTATTTTCTCCTAAATCAAATATATACCACAATAACCTCCTAAAGAGACCACATTGAGAAAAGCAGCCTATCCCAACTTGGATACTTTTGTTTCACCTGAAGAGAAATATACGTTTAACAGTCTTGCACACTTCTCATTATAATAAATATCTAGTAACGTCTCCCTTTGTGAAACTACAGGACATCTTGACTGCCTGATGCAGGTTAGCAGCACAGAAACAGAACCTGTCTATAAAAACACATTTCAACTCTACTTGGGCGTTGATTAAAGGGATTGGGTAACTTTGCCTCAGATTCTGAAACAAAATCCGGGATTGAGGTCATGCTACAATGATAATTATAAACCTTTAGGTCAGTCAGGAACCCCATGACTTTTACAAGCCGATCGACTGTCTGATTATGATTAGAAATTAAAATCAAATTTCGCATTTTCCTAACGGTTTTCATAACACTACAGTCTATTGGGGGAAATGAGTATGGTAAAACCGGTTACTCAAAGATTTTTACTTTTTGAGGCACTTCATGATCATTTTGAAGCGCAATTTTTTTAGGGCTTCAATATTACACCATATCACAGACACTGATAACATGTAGGGCCATGCATCTCATATTTAACATTGTTAAACCATGCCTTTAAAGATAGATTCAATTGCAATGAGTTATCGATGGTGTAGACTTACCGATGGGTAATACATTTTGGGCTTCCACCGTGATTGAGTTGCCATAAGACTCGAAGCAAACAGTTACATTGTTGGTGTCCTTGTCGATGTCAATGACACTGGCGGGATACCAGATATCATCATCGTACTTGGCGAGACACCTGCCCTCTATAGAGAGCTGGCTGAAAGGATAGACACAATATAATTAAGAGGATGAGAAATGTTCCAAATGCAGGAGATACCCACAAAGGAAGAAAGTAAGATACCAAAGAGAGAAAGGAAGAAGGTGGAGAGAAAGGAAGAAGGTGGAGAGAGGCAAAGATGGAGAGAAGGGGAGGGGGAGGAGGAACACAGCTAAAGAGAGAAAGAGAGAGTAAGAGAGGAGGAGGAGTGAGGGGGGAAGGGAGAGAGAGAGGAGGGGGAGGAGGGTTGGAACAGAGAGAGAGAGAAAGATAGAGGGGGTTGGCGACAGAGAGAGAGAGAGAGAGGAGGGGGTTGGGGGGGGGGGGGAGAGAGAGAGAGAGAAAGGGGGAGGGTGGATTTGAACAGAAGGGACAATGAGGCATAAATCAGTGTGAAATTTTTATTTTTATTCAGAAAATACTACTTTATTTTTTTTCCAGCAATGGAAACAATTCATGTACACAAAATATCATAATATAGTATTAATGACTGCCTCGGGGCAATAGCACAATTCTAACCTTCCCTTGAGCGTATAAAAACAACTATTTCTTGAATATTAAAGCAGTCATTAATACTTTTATATGCAAAAAAAAAAAAAAAAAAAAAAAAAAAAAAAAAAAAACTTTTGTCGAAGATGGGATTCGATCTCTTGCGTACAAAAGGTGATGTATCTAAAACCAGCGCCTCAAACCGCTCGGCTATCGCGCTCTGTTACCATTCATAGCAGTTTTTTCTTATATATACATTAAAATGGATTGAAAACTGCTTCGCGTGGCAGATGCTTCGCGGCTGCTCCATTAAACAGGCCCTTCTTTTACTTTTGCAATGCATATTGGCACGAATTTAGATCAAGATCTATCGGCAGATGTTGTTTTTTTGTTTTTGGAAGTTTATTTTCGTCTTCATGTCAACAATGCAAGATAAATTTGTCGGTAAGATCGATCGAGATTCAATTGTATTGAAATTACCGACCAATTCTTCGCACACGTACGGTATCCTCGATCGCTCAGACCATATTTTAACATGTAAACCTATGAAGTAACCATGGAGACTGACCTATTTTCCCAATAACCATGGTTATTGGGATTTTGAACTGTTTTTTAACCATGGTTACCGGGAATTTTCGGGAACAGTTAAAGTTTATGAATGCAATTTTGACCAATCAGATTGCTGGATTACTTAAGTGAGGTATATAATGGATAATATTGAATAAAAAAATAGTAAGTACCGGTACACACAGTGGGGAATAATGAGTTCTTAGAAAATATGTGCTCACCTGAGATCTATTTCTTGGAATTGTTTCAATTCAGATGCATTGACAATGTGACCATGAGAAAACCTGTATCCAGGAATACAAATCAAATATTTAATGAACTGCTGCTAATATCATACATGCATACCAGGGGGTGGTTCACAAAGATCCTAAGTCAAACTTAACTCTAAGTTGGACATTATGGAGAGCCATTATGTTAAACCCCCCCCCTTGAGTATTTTTTATGTGTATGATTTTTGTAAACCCCCCCCCCCCCCCCCCCCACCACCCTTTTAATTTTTTAATTTTTTTTTTTTGTAATAAAATAAAAAAAATAATAATAAAAAAAATTATGCCAATGGCTGACCTAAAAAAGGTGACCTTACCCTCCCCCCCACGGAACAAAATGTCAAATTTTCAAATTTCGAGACCAAAAAAAAAAAAAGTGTCCTCTTACCCCCCCCTCCCCCCAAGACCTACATGAACCTGTACATAAAGACCACTTTTCTTGTCTCCCTTGGGTTTCACTGTATATCTTTCAAACATACTTGCATTCCTCTTCTGCAAAGCGACACTCTCCTTTGAAGAAGAAGGGACAGGGCTTCATAGAGGTGTTCGTTGGGTTACAGAACAGGACACGCAACTTGATCTGGAAAAAATCAGGAGGCAAAAAAAAATAGTTTTCAATTTTAGAAAACAAGGGAATAAAGTAAGGGACAATGACAAATAAAATATCAATGATATCTCAAATTTGGTCACATTGCAAGTCAATTTTGCTCTTTGTATTCTTTGTTTCTTTATTGCAATGGCCACAGTTGTTTCTACTCCACCATACAACACAGAGCTAAATGCAAATCCACTATATCCGCTATCGATACACACACACACACACACACCACACAATACACTCACAAACTCATTCACAAAGATCGTATGAACTCATTCAAAAAGATTGTATGAACACATTTTCATTTTCATTTCACCATGTTAGCTTTTTCTTTTGAGGCCGCCATCCTAGTCATCCTGTAGTCTCCTGGGCAGCGTCTCACGAAACCGTCATAAGTACAAGTCCAACGACATCCTATTGAAATGCGTGTATTAAGTTTAACACACGTTTCAATGGGATGTCGGTGAACTTGTACTTATTACAGTTTCATGAAATGCTGCCCTGCACTTTTCAAAAGATGGTTAGGATAATACTTCAAACTCATAATACTATATTATAAAAGTATTATATTATATGTAAATGTAAATCACATTTTGATATGACGATATTATTGTTATTATTGTATTACACCTTTCATTCACATGTTCTTTGTTATTCAGCTATTGTATTTGGAAAAATGCAGAAATATAATCAAATCAAAATAGTGTTCTTGTATATTTTTGTTTTATATGAAACCCATGTACTTCAGCAGTGTTCATGCCCTTCTGTGCTCTCTATCTACAGAGGATATATTCTTTAAAGAAAACTTGTGAATTTTCATATCTGTATGGGGGAAAAAATGTGGGTGGGGACCGAAATACATCGAGCTGAACTGGACCAATGACTTTGTGTGCTCAGAGTATGGGTGTATAATTGGCTATTTTTTTATGAAATAGGACGAAAAGAATGAAATGTAAACATACCTCATCGTCATCTGGTGAAGATGGTTCTACGGATAAAACTACAGCATTGTGTCTCTGGTGCGCACCCCATTCATGTCTGTAGAGAATGCTGCAGCTGGTTCCTGAAATATCCTCGAAGTCGTTCATATCTCCATCCTCCTCCTGCTCCTCCTCAACATCCTCATCAGCATCATCTTCTAGTCTTTGGTTAGTTCTAGCTGGTCCCTTGGAAGAGGAGCTGCTCGTTGCTGCAATTTCAGCCTACATTGAATGACAATCATCATGCAGGAATATGGTGTGTTACAGATATTAATTAAGGCTGCATTTGGTTCTTGAAATAATCCCCAAATCATAAACACTTTCTTTCTCCCTCTCCTCCACCTCCTCCTCTTCATCATTACACCTCCAACTGTTATCTTCATCTTTATTTTTTCTCTGGTAAGCTGGTGTAAGAGGAGTTGCTTGTTTATGCTATTGCAGCTTATTTACCCAACAGAAAGGGAAGGGATAGAGAGGAATCAGGGAATAGAAGGCTATATACATTTATAATTGATGCCGTTTTCTATTCATGAGAAGAAAAAAAAATAGAACACAACAGTTACTTGTTTTAACCTCGTGAAACAGTGTAGATTAAGGCCTTTGTTAAATACTTTTACATGTAAGCTTTAATACATGTATGTCATATTCTTAAGAAACATAAATCGGGACAAATCAATTTTTCACCAACTTAAAAATTACAAAACTTGGTAAGGGTATGATTATTTTAATAATGTATTTTGTACTCATTACATATTGACTGTATGATACATTACTGTGATTTGTATTAAATTTGTTCTACCTGAAAAGCTGCATACTCTTCATCCACGTCAACTGGATGGGTTTCTTCAGCACCATTTCTTGTCTTCTTATCAGCTTGCGGAGGACCCGTGATGTCATCAACATAGCTCAAGAGTTTGCTCTTCCGCAAGGAAAGCAGACTTCCTGCGGGAAATAAAGAAAGAAGTGCATTGTAACCATTAGCGTCAACATCATATTGCTAAGCGGAAAATGAAATGTACGCGAACATACAACGCAGAATTATAGCAGAGTACTGAGACTACTGATGCCCCTGGATCCAGCAATCATGGTCTATCTCTGCCTTGACACTGTGCGTGCGCACAAACACCTCCATTTGACTTTCCAATCCAATGGAAGCAATATCATTTAATGCAACAACTCACTCTAAAGTAGTTCTGTATAATATGCATTTTGAAATGATTTTGAAAGTTATTTGTACCTCAAATTAAAATTAGATCCATCACATTTTTTCTTGGGTTGGTCACTTGATAATTTTTTACTGTTAAATGTAAGTTATTTGGTGATTAAAACTACCTGTATTGAGGTGAGTTTCATGATGTTTTTTTTTCTGCACCCCTATGATATTAAAAAATGATGGGCAAACCATCTCTTTTTATGGGAAGCTTGACAAATTTAACTTATTTTTCAATTTTCAATAAAAGAATTCCTCACACCAGAAATTCTTCTTTCCATCAAATTTTATATTTATGTGTTACCATAATTCCTATATCCAAGAATTCCAGTGCTAGGATCAGTCATGTATGGCTCACATGACATGAAATACTTCTATCATGAAGAAGATATGGATATCTTGTGATGCTAATCAAGGTATAGTTCACCGCAGAAAGAAAAAAAAAAAAAAAAAAAAAAAAGGTATAGTTCACCACATTAGCATTTCATTTTTATGAGAGATCTAAATCAAATATTGCATGCACTCTTGTTGAATTTGAGGCACTGGTAAAATAATGGATCTTCAGTGATTGGCATAGTGACTCTGCCAGTCACCAAATACATACCTGCCAACATTTGAAAATAAGAATTAGGAATTTTTAGCATGGTATGCCTTCGAAAATAAGCAATCGCCCATGCAGCGGCAGCGTAACTGGCAATTCGCGGTAAATGTGTACATACAGTAAAAGCGAGCACAAATTTGCTGCTCGATCATGCAGCCATTCAAAGCACGCAATACATGAACTCTCAAATCGCAGCACATGATAAAACAAGCTTAATTTGGCTTTAGCAAATTAAAAAAAAAAAAAATGATATAAAAATCTGAATATTCCGAATTTGTAGGTTCTTCTTAAAATTCATAAAATCAGAATATTACAGATTATTTGGAAGGGTTGGCAGGTATGCAAATATCCACAATTTCGACTGGAGCCTCAGTCTCAGTCCATGGTGCATGGTATTGGTATATTTGATTATTATTCACCTTGGGTTAACTCAATGACATCTTTCAAATCTTGCAGGAGTTGATGAAGAGCCTCCACACCTTCACTGGCACTGCTTCTGCTTGCTAGGACAGTCTCTATTTGCTTAAGCTAGAATGAGACCATGGAAAAGGGTACCATTCAAAGACGATATCACGTCAACGTATACTTATATTGGTGATTTATGAAATATATTGATATAACGAAGGGTTACTTGGCGCATCCACTCTTGCCCGTGTGGCGTCTGTGAAGTGTAGAAAGAAGCCATGTAAACAAAGACTAAATGTAAATAAAATCACCCATTACCACACAGGACTAATAATTCAAACTACAGTAGTCTACCTCCACTTTGGCATTCGCTCAAACATCTTCATAGACATTGCATTCATAGACGCCTCTAAAATTAAAAATCCAATTTAACTCTTCTGAATTCTCTTGCAACTCACTTTCAAATTCAATCTAACATTTTAAATAACAAAAATCTCTCGTTAATGAAGTGTAAACAGACACGGGACTAATTTCAGTAACTTGCAGAGACACTTTCCTTATCTTTTACACTAAAGTATCTTCGTACACTCTAGGGTAGAGTACCCAGTATTCGGTCACTTAAGGGGAAATCACTAATATTTTGAATTCTTACCTCTTTCATTGGGCAATCTACCCATCAAAAGAAAAGAAATTTATTCCTCTAACAGGATTTTATAGTCACTGAAAATATAGAATAACGATAAGCAAAAGACTTCCGAAAGAAGACGGAGCATTTTTCTGCCCAGAATTCGGTCGCGCCGACTAGAATTCGGTCACGCGATTTGTGCGTGGTATCTCCGTTGCAAAGGAGCGTAGCGTATTTGCGCACTATTTTCACACAATTGCGCGATAAAGCACGGAATGTCAATGCGTTGACCGAATACTGGCTGAGCGATACCGCATGGCAAGGGTATCGTATAAATACCTCTTGCACATCGGCAAGTGCGTCATTTGCAAATTCGCTGCGATGGAGCGAACACGGAAGTGATTCTCTTCACACACATACTAAATTCATTGTGACAGCACACGTAGTTGTTTCGCAATAGACTTCTACATATGGCTATGCATGTTAGCGCATGTGCTAAGAGAACGCGAAAGTGCGGAAAGTTGTGCGACACTGACCAATTTCGAGCTAAGGTGGAGATCTTTCCGGGGCCCTAAATCTGATTTAATTTTGAGAGTTAAGAAAAGTTGTTCAGCTGCCTGATTTGTGCAAGTTTCGTGGCTCATAAATTATTTTTTTAATTGTTACAGCTGTTGAAACGGCTGTCTGACCGAATACTGGGAATTGACCGAATACTGGGCGCGCTACCCTACTCACCTCGAGAAAAAAAAATTAAAGAAATCCCAAACATAATTAAGAGTTTGTGGGACAGGTCTCCGAAATAAGCACTCCACTAGTACCTGGTACTAGTCTATCATATGCGTGCTTTCCTGTAAAATGCATAATGAAATCAATCAAATAGTTAACGTCCATACCTGTGTCTTATATGCATCTATTGTCGCTTCTAATGATGCTTCATCCATCCTTGGATTGTGCTATTTTGTCTATTTTGATTGCGAGTTTTCGTTCCAAGTCATGAAGTGATGTCCAAATGAAGCTATGAAACGCGAAATGTAACTCATTTGAGTTTTTTTCCTTTATGGTTTGAAAATTAGTAAGTATGGTATTTCACTTCTGAGCCTTCTGACTTCTGATCAACTATACAGGGCAAGGGCCACAGGTCTTTAAAATGTTTTAGAGCAAAAGCTAAATAGAATAAAAAATTAAAATGAGAAAAGAAAGTCATTTAATTTTATTAACATGCCATTTATTTAGTTTTCAGAGTTGGCCCATCAGGATCATCGCTTAATGGCTAAAGAAGAGAACTATCAGATCAGTTGATATATCTGTAAACTATGGTGTCATTATTTGAAAGGTCAAGGATAAAAATAAATAGACTCAAATCAAATTGACCTGCGACTAGCAAATGTGAAGTATGTGATTAGTCTCAAAAGGAATGAACTGATCTGGCAATTAATTTGAGGCAAACTTTGATCAGCAAAATACTTCTCGACACTCGAGAGCGAAAGGCTTCAGGCCTGTACTTGTATCCCCTCAAAGCAAGTCAATATGTAGCCCCCTGAAGTAAGTCATACAAATATTGTCTCTGTTGTTTGTTTCACTTTGTTTCAAAAGCGCACAAATCATTTTGAGCATATACGGTATAGCCAGTACGAAGTAGAGCCCGACAATATATTTCGTGAATGAAAAGCATTTGTATAATTCATTACTTGATTCAAGAACAAAAAAAGATTGTTCACCGGCATTTTTGTTGTTGTTGTTGTTGTGTTGTTGTTGTTGTTGTTGTTGTTGTTGTTGTTGTTGTTGTTGTTGTTTTTTTTTTTTGGGGGGGGGGGTTACGTTTTTCCCCTTCTCTCTTTTCAGCTGCATGTATTGTGCTCTCATCGGGGCTCTCATAAAGTCTACAGTTTGCTTGCCATAGTACATCGCACCGCTGAGCTGCTGCGGCGAAGCACTGTTATGTTGCTGTCGATGTCGTCGGGCCTGTTATGAAGTTAGAATAACGGTAACTTCTCCTTTTATTAGCGAAGAATATGTAGGAAACGTAAATTGATTAACATGGCTTATTTTTTAAAAGAATATGTGATAACTGATTGTATAATTCAATGTGACGGTGCAAAAATATAATGGTCATATAGACTCTACCATGACAGAGATGGGCAGACCGATCTAGATTTATTTTTAGAAATGGGGAATCCCAAATTACTCGTAGAGTCTAGTCGTATTGCGTAATAGCAACAGAACTGTAGACACGCATTTTCAGGTCTGTGGTAATAGAGTGGTGACAGTTAATTTGAAGTCTCATTGAACAAATGCAATGGCAGTTTGTTGATACCTCTTTAAAAATGTTGGGTGCTTACTAAGGCGTGGCTGTGTTGATTTCAATTTCTATGCCCGACTCTGATTTCTCATAATATTGTCTTAGTCTAATAATAGATCTAGTTGATGCAGATTTTTTTATAATTATCAATAGGTCTATTAGTCCGCTGTTAAAAATTGTTGAAATATGTATTCCCCTTTTGACTTAAAACATAAAACAATGATGTTTATGAAGTTCAGAGTTAACTAATGTAAATGGACACCAGTTCACAAAAGCCTTATAGTTTTATTCTTTTGTTAGAGTATAATGCCTTGTAATATGAAAATTACAAAACATGAATGATAAAAGGTGAAATGTTTTCTCTGCCAATGCCCCTTAATTGGGGGTATCCAATTGGACTATATGATGTCACTGTTTGGTATGCATACAGTCTTAATTTTCCCACCTGTTAATATTGTTTACATTTCTCATTGCATATATAGCTAAGCTTACCTTTCAAAATATATGTTTAAAAAAAAAATAATTAAGTTCTCTCTTTTTCTATGACTTCCTCATCCCACTTTTTACATACCAATGCAATTTTATAAATCTCTAATTTTACTGAAATTGTAATCTTCTGTATTTCTGTCAGATTCGACTAAGAACTTCTTCATGATGTGGGGAGTGGCTTTCTATGGGTTTTTCTTCATGCTGTGCTCCTGTGTACTTAATAGTCAAGCAGGAGTAGCATTGTGGACGAAAAAACACTTACATTCGCTCAACCCGCTGTGTTATGGGACGATTGAATGCTGCTTCCATAAATGGACCTATAGACCAGATATAGATGGTTGGTATATATTTTTTATTATCATTTTGGCATGTTCTTAGCAGTCTGTAAAAATCTTAAATGACAAAATTTCAAAAAAGGAACAAATATATCTCATGAATCTGTTTTGTATTTAGCGAACATAACTTTGCACTAATTTTCTGTGTGTAAAAAGAAAAAGTATGCCATGAAATACAACTTTGACACATTCTATTTAAGAGCTGTCATGATAATGGGAAGTAAAAGTTCAGGAAGTGAACTGAATCGTTTATCTACACTTAATGTAGGTCTTACTTATTATTTATGTTTAATTATTCTTTCAGCTCTTGCCAAGGCTTTTGACGACCATTTGTTTGGCCAACCCTTGGCCCAAACGACCGTCCTTGGTGCTATAGATGGTCATGTGACCAATCCTAATCCACCAAAGCCGCTGGTTCTGTCCCTGCACGGACCGGCTGGAACCGGTAAGAATCACATCAGCCGTCTCACGGTCGAAAGCCTTTTCAAACACGGAATGGATAGCAGCTTTGTGACTCTCAAGATATCTACAAAGGACTTTCCTCATAAAGCACACCTAGAGAAATACAAGGTACATGTGTTATATCATTGTAAGAAGAAACTGCACGATCGATTGATCCATTAAGCATCACTTACTAAAAGATAATTCACACAGGGCTCATCAGGGGTAACACCTGATGTCATAATAATAGTAATAATATTGGGTTCTTGTATATAGCGCTCTGTAAGATTTGACACTCCTGGCGCTCCCGATTATTACCCTGGCTTTAGCATGGCTGCCATTATGGCGCTTGAGCATTTTAAGGAACTAATTCCTGCCAGGTACCTATATCATACCTGCCAACCACCCCGATTTAGGCGGAGTTCCTCCGCATTTTTCATACCAACTCCGAATTCCGAGTGCATGCCTCAAAACTCTGATTTTTTAAAATTTATTTATTTATTTATTTATGTATTTATTTATTTCTTTTTTTTTTTTAATTTTTTTTTAGAGTGTAATGCACTTGGAGAGTATATAACTATTATGTTTGCATTTCAAAATGTAAAGCGCCTTGAGCATGTTCATGTAAAGGCGCTCAATAAATACCAATATGTATGTATGTATAAGACTAAAGCATAACACAGCACTGATAACCAGCTCACGCCGACATCCGCGCTCGCGCTCATAGAAGATATACACAGCGCAGCCCGAACGTGATCATTAGTTCCCCCCCCCAATCTACGGGCTACTACCCCAATCCTTCGGTGGTTTGCGACCTCGTAGTCCATCCAGAAAAATTTACTCCTAATTTCTCTTGTCTCAGGTTGGCAGGTATGCTATATATTTACATCACCTGGGTTGAGTGTGGCAAATGTAGATCAATGTCTTGCCAAAGGACATTAGTGCTGCGGCAGGACTCAATACAAGTGATTAAATGAGATATCAGTGAGCAAGTACTTATGAAAGTTTCTTGAAACCCTGCGGACCCTGGCTCTAGTTTAGGATGACAGATATGAAGTGAATATATAGTGCCTATTTTGGAGCCTCTGTTGGTTGATCCCTGGTGCCCTATAATATACCGGTAATATGAAGAGGACAATTTTCCTTCAGGTTCTTTATCGCGCAAGAAAATGGCCACAGTCGAGTCATCTCGGGGACCATAGTTTCCATCAGGACTGTCTCAGAGCAGTATCTATTTGTGTACTATAAAATAACCATACCCCCCTTCCCCATTGCTCCATGAAGTGCCCCCCAGTAGGTGGCCTTTCACTATCAGTTTGCCCCTGGGTAAAGTGTTGGGTCTAGGTCCCGGCCCCCCCCCCCCACTCCGGGGTTCGAGGGACTGCATGCGTGTTCCCAATATGTCCGGTAAAGGGGTAATTTTCACGCACCAAAATCCGGCTTGTAGTACACAAAAATCCGGCCCGTATTGACTTTACACACCGGACTTAGGGGGGCCGGTGTTTTCAAAAGGAGGGAACATGCATACACATACTCTAAATAACACTGAGTAGGGGGCCGGGGTCTAGGTTTAAAATCAAGAACTCAAATAGTGTTCACAACTGATTGTACATTCATTTTTAATTCTGTCCTCTTTGCTCTCCCTCCCCCTCTCCCTCTCTCTTTCTACAGGAGGAGCTGGTTTCATTAATCAAATCCAAGGTTTCTTCATGCCCTCATCATGTCTTCATATTTGATGAGGTAGAGAACATGCCTGCTGGCTTACTGGATAACATCAAGGGCTTCTTAGATCACCACACTAAAGTAGAAGGGACCGATTATAGGAAAGCAATCTTTATATTCAGAAGGTCAGTAAGTTCGATTGAGCAAGACATATCGTCGCCCGGCTGGCAGAAGGGCATTAGCTCGAATTTCAGGTCAAAACTGAAGCGTTAAGTAGAAGGGCGTTAGCACTAAATCGCCTCAAACTTTTATAAAACTGACTTATTTCCGAGAAAAAAATTGTGGTCGTGTTCTACTATAACATTTATATTAGTCTTTTAAGTTTTAAACCAATTTTCGGGACGGAAAACAGTTTGAATATGAAACAAATCTTTAAATGTGAATAAATCGAAAAGTAGTTTTTGAGTCATTTGCCCGCTATATAACCCCCTTCTGCCAGCCAGCCAGCCGACAATATAGTGGCATGAAAAGAAACATCCAAAACACAAAATAGATTTTGATGTCGTAGTATTGAGGCTCGTTCAGATATGAAGTGGTAAATCGTCATTAAAAAACAATAATTTACAAAGTAGAAATGGATGACAGCCGCTATACGCTACAAAGGTCCTGCATGAATTCACTGAGCTCTGTAACATAAGATACAGAAATGTGGAACGTTGGAAAAAACTACGTCCCTCGGATAGAACATTATATGTAGTCTCCATGTAGAGAACATCAAGTCACCTTGATACGTTCAGAACTCACTGCACTTTAAACCCGTTGTAGTGGTCCACCTGCATACATCCATTCAGTAATACCGGGAGAAGAAACCTGAGGGTTACAGTGATTTAGTTCGTTTTTCACCTCCTGCAGGCACAGATGATGCCAAATAGTTAATAACAAAAAAATAATAAAAGAAAGTTTACAAAAAAACTCAAAAGATAATAAAAAATATTTTAAAAAATATGCAGAGCAGTGTGGTACGTCATTAAAGGGATCCGGTAACTTTGTCTCAGATTCTGAAACAAAATCCTGGATTTAGCTCATGCTGCAATGATAATTATAAACCTTTAGGTCAGTCAAGAACGCCATGGCTTTTACAAGCCGATCATCTGTCTGATTATCGAGATATTTATGATTGGAAATCGAAACCAAATTTTATGTTTGCCAAACGGTGTTCAGAATACTACAGTCTATTGGGGAAAAACGAGTATGGTAAAACCGGTCACTCACCTTTTTTGAGGCACTTCTTGATCATTTTGAAGCGCGATTTTTTAGGGCTTCAATATTACACTATATTACAGACACTGGTAGCATATGTAGGAACGTGCATCTCAGATTTAACATTGTTAAACGATGCCTTTAAGATTTTTAAAGAAGAATTTTTTGTAACCCTAAGACCCATATTCACTCAAATTAAAACCTGAAACTCAAACTCAAAATCAAACTTAATATCAAAATCAAAATCAACTTTAACAAAGGAAGTTACTCTGAGGTCTAAGTTTTCCTTGGTTAAATGTGGTCGTAGAGTCGGTTTTATTATCATCATCATCATCATCATCATCATCATCCCCATCTGCATTGTATGTCAATATCACTATCATCAACATTTGTATTTTCAATAACCTATCCGTTTCTGCTTAATAAATGTGTTAATATATGTCATGAGGGGCAATCTGTTTACAATGACAGTCCTTCTTCCGAAAATAATTTTATAATGTTTGATGAATTTGAGTATTTATGACAGTTTATTATTTCGTTTTTGAAAATAAAAATTCATAATTATATTTGTATTTGCTTATTTATGATTCATTGTCAGAAAAATACTTTTTGTACTTTATATTGTTATCGAAAAAAACTGTATACTTACATGAATGCAGAAGAAAATCAAATCAAATCAAATCATATAAAATATTTCCAGATGTCAGAAGATGCATACTTCTGTCTCACTCTTGCCTTAACTTTTCTTTTATCTTTGAAACAGTAACCTAGCTGCACAAGCCATCAACAAGCACGTGTGGGAATCGTATGAGAAGGGAATAGCGAGGGAAGACATCCCGTTAGTTGAAATGGAGCGAATCATCATGAACGAAGTCAGTGAAAACCCTGGTTAGTAATTTCCTAATATTTTCTTTTTTTAGAGTCTACTATTGTGATCCAATCCATTTTTTGTGTGGTCATATTACACTTAAGGACTATCAAAGACAGTAGTTTTAACCTTTTCTTTCAGCATTTTGTATAAGATTGAAGCATAAAGAGACTGAACTTCATTCTACCCCGTTTCCCTCAAAATGTCATCCATAACAGGTTCACATTGTCAATTTCATGTAAACCTTGCTTCTTTTGTCAGTTTTTTCAATTCAATAAAATACGTTTCGGGTTTTAAAATGATGATAGCACCCACAAGACCTGATAGTGATACTCATTTCTGAACGAGGCATGATGTTTATTTCAATAATTATAGTCATAACATCTAAGATTTAAAAGGCACCAAATCCACTTAAAATCACATACACAAAGTGCAAGAGTTCCACACAAAAGAAAAAAACCTTTATAAAAGCACTTTACAAAAATAAATGTACTGTTGGAGTAGGATTCAAAATATATTATAGGCCGAATCAAAGATATTGTTTGGGGATTACTTTCCATATTTCTCTCTCTTTCATTTTCACCTTGTTTCTTTAATTATTAATGCTCCTTTCACACAGACATTTTCACCACCAATTGTCCGAAAAATTTAATGGATATGCAGGATCTCTTCATCCTTTTCTGCACTCTATATTTTAGATGCTGGTTTTTACAAGGCCCGAATCATCAGTTCACATCTCGTCAGCCATTTTATACCCTTCTTCCCACTCGAAGCATCTCACGTAAGGCAGTGCATCCATGCTGAGTTCAAGGTCCGTGGGTATGCGTCCACCTCATCTTTAGAAGATGATGTACTTGCCCAGCTGCAGTTCAACGGGCCGAGGGGGTCCAGGGTGTTTGCTGTGAAGGGTTGCAAGAATGTTGCGGAGAAAGTGAATATACTTCTCTATAAACTGAAGGCTAAAGGTCACACGAGGCATACAGACTTATAAGATTTAAGAGCAGTTATGGTAAAGTAAATTTAAATGTGTATAATTTACTCCAGTGTTGATGTTTTTTTTTCCAGGGGTGGGGGCTGGCAGGGGAGCCTCATTCTTTTAATGTCAGATATGTTATATAATTTAAACACCTGTATGAAAATATGTAATTTGTTTATTTATATTTGGCTCTTTAAAGATTTTGGAAACTTATGATGCTTCAAACACAGTGAGGAGCGGGGTATTATTTTGCTATTGGGGAGATTTTGGTACTGATGCACAGCCCCCCCCCCTCCCCCTTAGAAAAAAAAACAAAAAAACATTATGAACTAATGAAAGGCAATATCCTGAGATATAATCTCCTATAAATTTCTTTAGACTTCACTTACTGCAAAAAGAAATTTCCAAATCACAATGAATCATGCAACTCTTAAAATTTCCATGTAGATACATGTGCATATTTAGGCAGATTTTGATGGGTAAGCTGAATATCGAAGTGCAGAAACTTGTAGAATTAAATGTTTTGTGACTTGTATACATCCCAATATTTCATATTGTATATAACAAAGCCTCTTTCGGCTATAAATCCTACTGAGTAATGATGTTTTAATAATTAAAGCAGCTGATAAATTTTTACATTGTGAATTCGAGAGAGTGGAATGAAGCAATTATTTGTAAGTAGTACTAGGTTGTATAATTCCTATCTAATGTGTTATAGTGGCTGCTTCTGCTATGTGTAAATAAGGATAATAAATGTGGTAAACATAAACAGGTTCAAATAGTCTGTTTGAACCCACAAGGACATCTACTCAGTTTTAAAGCCCCACTGCACTACTTATAGCTATACTTGCGCCCTCTATATGGCAAACAATCTTGAAATCTACTTTTAATTTTAATTTTTTTTTTCTTTCTGTTTTTAGAAGAATTTTTTTTTTAAAGCATTTAAAACTGAGAAATATCATCCCAAAAAGGGAGAAAAAAGAAGAAAAAAAAGTATTAAAAAAATCAAAGATTTCTGACCGACTGACCCATGTTTTGGCACCTAAAGGGCAATACAACATCTTTTTTTAAAGGCCTTATTAGTGATTTTTTAGAAGCCGATTAATTGGTGATGGTGGTGAGGGTGTGGGTGTACATGCCCACTGAATTGTTCAAACCAAGTAGGCCTACATCGTTTAAACCTCCATCAAGTATATGCCTGAAAGTTTGGCGGCTCCTTACATTTCATAGATCTTCCATTCCCTTTTCTCTTGCATATTTTAACCATCAACTTTCAGATTAATTTCATATGCTATAGTTGTGACTCGTTCAACTCATTGTTAAGTCACCTCATATAGTCATTTGATTAATTGTAAAGTTCTATTTTTTTTAATAATTTCACAAATTCTAAAATAGATAATTTGCTCTTTCCCCTTGCATTTTCTATCAGAGTATAGAAATTGGATGTGTAAATTTCTTGGGTCTGATTGAATGTAAATTGACTGATTGACTCAACAGAAGAAATGTGATGATGAGAAAGTGTATCATTTAGTGATTATGAAAGTAGAAATATCATGTCTAACTAGTCTGAATCACATTCTATATTTCATTATTGGATATTTATCATATTTTGATTTCCTGTTGTATTTTTATTACTTGAGACTAAGTCTGCTTTCCAAATTTATCAATCATTTTTACTTATCCTATGAAATAGGAATATTTTACATTAGAAGAAATTTAAGAAGATATATATACAATGTATTTAGATAATGAATTGGCTGCATACTAAGACTACTTGATTAAACAATTTTATAATATAATGCTTTGTTAAAGCACACAATATTTTTTGGAAGATTGATATGTTTGTTTAGGTGATGAGAAGGTTGTGCCTTTTAGCTGATGATAATATGATGAATTTTAATATTCCATATACCCACCAATCTTGCCTTATTTTACATATGAAAATTCACTGAGCGGTAGATATTTCCTTTTTCATTCTAAATTGTAGAACAAATTTTTATAAATGGAAAGAAATGAATATAAAGAAGAGGACAAAATAAATGCATGAATTCACTTGTCAGCTTAATTAATCCTGGTTCAACAGCATAAAACATACTTTAAAAAAGAAGGCCAAAATTGACATCTTTATTCACAAATCCCTAAATCATAACACTCGGACCATGTGTTATATGTAACAGCCTTTCTTCTTCATAGATTTCCTTTTTAATCCCCACTTGCCATCCATTTAGCTGTACTTTTTTAGTGGATCTTTTTACATCATTTATCATGTCATGTTTGAAAACGATTTTATAGTTGGCACTTAAGTGCAAGAAATTAGGTACTAGTTTAAAGCTGAGTTATTGTTGTCATTTAAAAAAAAATAGTATTGTAATTGTTATTGTTATTGTTATTATTATTATTATTATCATAATCATTATCATTATTTTAATCATTGTTATTATTATTATTATAATTATTGTAATTATTAGATAATTATTATTATTAATGTTATTATCATCATCATCATCCTTGTCATAACTATCATCATCTTTAAAAAAAAACATTATTGTGATTACTATTATGTTTATAGGAAATAAAGTTAGCACTTCTAAGACTGCCAAGTTATGTACATCTAATATTTGCTCCAGTTCATCCATAGAAATGTTTTTGATTATTTCTAATTGAAGGCAAGTTTGGTGGATGGCACAGTATTCAATCACATCGTGGAACCTTTGAAAACAAATCATTGTGAATTTGGGTTTTTTATTCCCAAATAAGGTGTTACTCATTGTTGCTAAATAGATCTTTCTATATTTCTATACAACTAAAAATTCATCTAAAAGTATTGGAACATGATTTAAATTGCTAAATAGATCTTTCTATATTTCTATACAACTAAAAATTCATCTAAAAGTATTGGAACATGATTTAAATTGCTAAATAGATCTTTCTATATTTCTATACAACTCAAAATCCATCTATTGGAATATGATTTGAATGCATCTCGGTTAATTACTTTTTTATTTGTTGCTGTCCACATGTTTAATGCATATTCATTTTTCTTTCCTTATATTCCTTTACTGGAATCATTTCTTGTGTAAACGCGTCATAATTGATATCTCATACTGTCTATACTTTGAGTAGCCTCTCAACAACACTGACAATATAGATCATTATTTGAAGAACAGGGATAAATGCTTATCATAGTAGAACTTTGATTAGCATGATTGATATTATCATTTTCTGAAACCATGATTATCTCTCGTATTATCATAGTATGATCATACAGTATGTTGTCATTTCTTAATGTGAGGCAAATAATGAGTGTCTGATTCCATTATGATAGCTCTCCTAACACAAGTCTTCTGAAATAATCATATTTTCACATCAACTGAAATACATTGTTTTTTTCTTTCTCATATTGGTGTGAGATGAAATATTTAGATATATCTGATGTTTATATGCACCTGGAAAGAGGTTTTTTAAATGAAAAATATGATTTTAAGAAACATTTCGAAGAGAGGTTTAAGACTTCTTTTTATCTGTGCAATTTCATGTACTTGATACTTGTACTATGCAAAATGAAATGTCATTCATTAAATAACAAATTAAAAAAAGATTGTTTCTTTGTTCCAATCATTTGGGAATCTTATACAAAATCCTTTTGCAATTATATCGAGTTCAATTAAAGAGCAATTTTTTTTGTGTGTCTCAAAATTTGAAAATATGGCCGATCGATATTTCGTTGGGGGGGGGGGGGTGGGGTAAGGTCAGATTTTTTGGTTCATCCATTACCATAATTTTTTTTAAATTCTAATTATTATTTAAAACAAAAACAAAACAAAGGGGGGGGGGGTTTCAACAAAAACACACATATAACAAAATGTAATTGGGGGGGGGGGGGGGGGGTTCAACCCCCCCCCCCTTGTGTATGCGCCTGTGTACATGTAGTATGAGTATAAGTATATGAGTATAAGTTTGCGGAGATTTCTAATTTATTTATTTAGTGAGTTTATAGCAAATGGACGGCTAAGGTTTTTACTATAAATTGGTACATCTAGGAAATTTATCGTAAAAGAATTACGGAGATGTCGCTATCTTAAAATATACGATTGAAAAAGTAATTGAGAAAAACGGGGAGTCTAGAGCTGATTTATAAAAAAAGCGATTCATCAAATATAAGATAACTGCATAACCTCTGAGTAATGTAAGGTTTCTTTTTCACAGGGCGCATACGTGTTTGCTTTTGCCCGAATACCAACCATCCTGTTTTTGCGTTTTGCGAGCGATTAAAGCGAGTTAGCAAAATACTTAATTCGTCGATCATCAAAACGCACTTCACTGCATGCCGAATACCAGGCGATGGTTGCCCTAATATCGAAACTTTAAATATCCTCGGGAGGATGGGGGGGGGGGGGGGAGCAATACCCGCCTCTACGCCTCGTAGGCCTACCCCTATTCATGTCTTTATCAACTTAATATGCATGTGATTATAAATATTTCTTCGGTGTTTGTTTTGATGATTATTATGTGCACTGTGATTTAGCTCGTAACATTTCTTTGTCGCGGGAATACAGGACTTATCCAAAAAATGACGTATAGGTGTAAGTGAAACCACTTGTAACCCTCTGCCAGGATATAATAAAAAATAGTAATAATCATGATCCTACTTGCATTTTCATTTTCATTAATGATCGGGGGCCGGCCGGGCAGCACCACTCTTTGACAGATAAATTCATTCGTTCGCTACTTTGTTTACTTGAGCCCAGACGCGGATCCACGGGGGGGGGGGGGGGGAATGGGGAAGGGCCGACGGACCTGGGTCTCCCCTCCCCGGCCAAAAAAGAAAATTAGAAAAGAAAAAGTATTTTCTCACGAATTGGACAAAAAAAAATGCTCTTACGCCCCTGCTTGAGCCCTCCCCCCCACACACACAACGAATGAACATAAAAATGAATAAGTGAATAAATAACTAGATATAATTATGTAAATAAAAAATAATCAACATCAACTTTATCGTTTTCCGCGGCGCCTGATCATGCACACATTATTTCTCTTTTCTCGACGTGGAGGTGTCGTGGTATAGTGAATCATTCGATCACTATAGCTTGACTCTAAATGAAAATCCTAGGATGTCAGAAAAGTGGGAATTCATGCAGTGGCAGATCCAGGGGGGCCGCCCCCGCCCCCCTGCGATTTTTTTTTAAAACACGTGATTTTTAGCTTTTTTTTGGGGGGGGGGGATTGGGCCCAAAAAAATGTGCTCACTACCCCCCCCCCCCCGAATTTTCGGCCGGTGTGATTTTAAAATTTTGAGGGCCCCCTCCCCTGAGAAATCCTGGATCCGCTTTGTTGTTGTTGCGATTAATGGCGTTTCCATCGTCATTCGATGATTTCTGCCAGGCAATGTGAGAGGGCGTAGTTACTGGTCCTCTCTTAATACTTTTACTGTTGGATCGACGATAGCCTAGTGGCGTTGTGTTGTGCAATTAACAATGTCAATAAATTGTTAGTAATTATTTTCTGTATTGTTATTCGGCTTGTTTTTTTAAAGAATTCATTAGGAAAGAAAGGATGAAGTGGTTGAATATTAGTTGCGATCAGTTTATTACGTTAGGACGTTAGTTTAAAACCTCTCTCCGTATAATGAAGCAATTTATACCGAGGATAGTACCACTGTCACTGAATTCATGAATATGATTATGCTTATGGACTTTAATTGTTCTCCTCATGAGGAAGCGAAGAGAAGGGAGTTGTCATGAACTTTCGGTTTCATGAATAATGTTATTTGAGCTCATACTGTTAAAATATTGCCTGTACAAAGTGAACATGCTTATCTACCATGTAGCATGTACAATGTAGCATGGTAGCAATGTAGACG